CCTGTGTACTGATTGAGATTGTAGTGAGGCCTTGGCCATCAGTTAGTTACCCAACACAACGCTAGGTATTCCTCATCGCCGAGACCTTGTGGCTTGTACAGAGCAACCTGAGTATGACTATCCGCCATCGCTACAGACTCATCAAACTCGTGTGCTAGTTTTGATTTTACTGTAGTCTGAAAACGCATTTCAGTACCTAATCAATTAGAATACATAGTAATACAAACAAAAAAGTGTAGCTGAGGTAGTTTAACATTAGGTGTATGGAAGTTTCCTTAAATTAAAAGGAATTATGACCTTAAATGGCAATTTATGAAATAATGGATAGTTTTGCGCTGAATTTCTCGTCATGACAAACATTTTAGATATATGGTTTATGGGGTTGTGACCTTTAGTTTTCTCAAAATTTCGGTACTTGAGGATTTATTTATGGATGTTGTTTACTTAAACATCTATCGTGGAAACGAATATGTGATGAGTCCTACCATTCTAGTGGTACGACTAAAAGTAAGCCATGATAAACACGTTGAAATGTGAACATTACCATTACCGACATCAGTAATGTCACCGTGCCGGTCAGTGCATAGAGAAATGTTAACAGACGACCAATTAGGGTGTCTCCTCTAACAATCTGACATACTACATATTCATACGGATGAACATGTTGTCTCAGAACACCTAGGACCTAGCCAACAGTGGCCATCAGGAGGAGTATCTTACACGTTAGGTCGGGTTTACAGTATACAGGATAATGGAAGCTGCTATCGCCGTTGAAACGTATGTAGCCTACTATTTTTATGTCCTAACGGCTAACTAAGAAGAGTGTTCAACATATTTATAGAATGCTATAATGAAATATTTTACTATCATTCAATATGATGAAGTTTAGCCTATTATAAAAGAACTTGTCTCGCGTAGTTAAAATAATATTTAAATTACATTTGTGTCCATAAACTTTTGGGTTTCTAGGTCGATATAGCTCTCGCAGCTCCTTGCAGAGCCTACTCAATATTGAACCAATACCATTGAATCAATATGGTAGTTATAAATGTGGCCGTTTTCCTGAACCCTTCCACCATAGATTAAAAGAGCTTCCACGGTGCACAGTTGGCTTAGTAGATCTCTGCTTGAGCATGGCTCTACCAGAGTATCACAGACTATAGAGTAAACCATTACTGTATTCTATCTACAGTCTGTGGTATCAGTATGCACACATACTATATGACGTATTCTCGCACAGAAACTCACCTGTCTCCAACTGAGCGCCGGTAGAAACGTAACACAGTGTTCTAGAAGTTGTTTATCGTTCATTAGGGTTTGTCTCAACAGTAAAACTGTTGCAATCAAATACAAAACGTCCAATTTGTTGACTGTATATACCAAACTTTTCAGGATATCATAAAAACGCCAAACCTTGGCGACTTAACCGACCAACCGATATTCCAAAAACAAGGTTTACTAGTTAGTGAAATGCGCAATGCCATGATTTTGACTTCCGCTGTTTGACACTGTGATAGCACCTGTTATCAGTGGCAGACAAGGTTAGTTCTCCGCGACGCGGCGGTGATGTAGTCAGTTGTCAGTGTACCGCCACCGCGGACAGTGTGAGGTGCGGAGGCGGACTGCGGAGTGCAGAGTGCGGAGTGACACTATGGAGTACGCTAGCTGGGTAGGACGTCTACCGGCCAAGACACTCCGTATAGTCTGGACACCCGTGGACCACATGCGGAGTTATCTACCTAACTGGAGGTGGGCACTGGGTAGTGGGTACACAGAGAGTACTGGAATCATACTGATAAGTAGGCCACTACACGCGTGGAGTAGAAAAATACTCATAGACACGTTTATCTTACCATCAGATATGATTGTCCTTTTGTGCAAGAAGATCTTTGAAAACTTAACTCTCTTTTAAAATATAATATTTTCGTGATATAAAGTGTATAGTTTTATAATACGAGTTGTGTAATGTTTATAGTTTATAATGTTTGTAGTTTTATAATACTATACGAGTATATTTATAATACGAGTGTACAATACAGTAGGCCTACTGTGACAATAGTACTGTATGATTTTTTTCTGTTTTCTTGTAATTCGTGTCATTTACATTACTCAAACTTATTTTTCCCCAACACACATATTTCAAGTCCAACATCAAATTCGATGAAATGGCAAATGTGACGTAGCCTCACTACTCAGTACAACCACAACCGATTCTTAGCAAAGATTAATTGATAGATACAGTAAGTTATCTACAACTGTTCTGTTCATGAGTGTATCGCATTATGGTTGAGCTAACCACTTGGTTAAATTAATTAACGGATTTAACATTTTTAACATAGACAACAGCTAACAGCAAGCTGAATACTGTAAACATAAGTAGTTACATGTACTGCACAAGAAAACTAAGAACTGGCTTAAACAAAACGAAGAACTTGTTAGCGCTCATAGAATTAGTTAGCACTGATCTACTCCTTACACCAATTGAATTACCATTGTATCACCTGTATCATGAATCATGTGGTAGAGAAGTAGCTATTAGGCCTCGCCACTTTAACTTGAGTTATAGTTATACCAATCATTGCTTGTTGGTCAGCCATTTATATTTTCGTAAAAACCAACCCCTTACTGCAAATAAGTTTTGCCACACCTTCAGCTTAGAGCAGGAAGTTTGCGTAAGAAATCAGGCGACATATCAGCTGTTTAGTTGGTATCTCGCCATGCTCGTTACCTTCCCAGAGCTCATAAATTGATAACCGATAAACAAATACATTTAACTATGACTCACACACTGTTTACTTTAGTTATTATTTTGCAATAGTTGAATACTTTGTTTGTTTCCAAAACAAGCGTGAAAATAATCATATTTCTAACGAAGTTCAATTACAGTTACAGTATAAATAAAGGTTGTTGAGTTAGTGTGATCATTAGCCCTCTAGTCGGTTTACTTCTGATGTAAATTTATTTTATTCTTACAATCAAATAATACTGTTTCTGTCAGAAGCTTCTAAGATATTATGTTTTTTTTCATCAAACTATTTAACGCTTGTTAAAAAGTCACATTGTAAAATATCCAATAATTTGACACATTGATCGCGAAGACTTACAAGAAATTATTATTAGGAAGGTTGAGATCCAGATCCAACTGATTGACAGATGCCTTAGTAATTGGTTCCGTCCTAGTTTTAACAATTAATGTGATATGATGACGTAATGATTCCATTGTATTTCGCAAACTTTACACCATAATCACAGCTATTAAAAACTATACAGTATATGTAATGTAATTACAAAATACAGAACACAATACAGAATTTGTTTTCAAAATCTTAGAACACAATATACACAGTTTATAGTACATTCTATTTGTTTTAATGATTAATTGATTTCGATTAATATATTTTATATTATTTTATTCATATAATTAATCAAGCCAATGACCAGTTCTTTGAATAATAACCTAGTAGAGGTACTGTATTATAAAATCCGAAATTTTTACATTTTATTTTTTCCTAATTATTGGGATATTTGCTTAATTTGTTATTACTGTAAAGGCTTGAGTGCGTTCCTTCGACTTCCACCATATAGTTGTTGGTAAAATAAAAATTTTTGTGAGCTACCATGTAAGTTCAAGCAAGTTACCTGCTCCATAAATACGCAAGTTTGTTTAAATTAGCACACAATATTTTCACAACGCATGTGACATCATCTCTTCAGTACAAGGACTCGTTGTGTTGAGTGGAATGTACCAACAACAAACACTCGCTGTCTCTCGCACATCGCGTCACTTGGTTGTTGTTTGTCCTTCGTCCTTTGGTTGACTTGGACAACACCTCACTGTTGGCAGACGTGATCTCCGAGCCATGTATCTGATTGGGTTATGGTTTCGTGGTTTAGAATAGTTATTTTAACCAAGTATTGAATCAATATGAGATATAGTACGGGGCAATTAGATTTAAACCTCAACAAAACAAGTAAAACCAACTTTTGACTCTTAACTGTTTTATATAGTCCCAGTAATGTATAATAAAAAGTTACAAAATTTTGAGCGTCGGGTTTGGGGAGAGGAGGGGGTAATAGTTGCAAAATGGTTGTAATTTTTGGTTTTAATGAAATATATTGACAATTGTGTGGTATAGCGCAAACTATGTTATTAATAAAAAGATATTAAACATTTCAAACATGAATGGTCCTCTTCATCTCTTTAAAAAGTGAATGGTTAAAGAAGTTACCAAAGGTTAAAAATTGACATGTTTTCAAACATTTTAACGCTTTGAAATATATGACTTGACTTAGCAATATGGAAATGTTTTTTACAGGTTATGGGTTTGTGTTTTGTAAAGGCGAATAGTGATTTTAGTGGCCTGAATGTTAGCGATAAGCCCTTGAAGGAACGACAACCTCACAAGGTCTCGTCCCATTTTAAGACACAATATGAGTTAACATGTGATCCTGCAAACTTTAGGTGTCACTATTTAACCTCGACCCTTCGTTAGATAGCATGATACATTTAATAGCCTTATCACCAGTGACAACTTAATTTAGAATCCATCCCTTTCTTATAAGATAAGTCAAATTGCAGACAAATTTTCCACTAATCGTTGTTTGTAAAAAAAATCAAGTATCTAGTAGTTGGAAATCTAGTTGGAATCTAGACATGTTGGACAAATATTTTTAAGTCATATTGAGAAATTGCGAATGTTTTTAAAGCAAGAAAATGAGACAGATGCGTGTTCAATGAATGCTATATCGAGACTCGGGTGTTTTAAGCTGCGATTATACACTCTTTTTTTCTTGATGTCTACGCCAGTGATATTTTTACCCGAGGCATTGCAGTAGGAAGGACAACACTTTGTTGTCCAAAACACATATATGCTGTAGGGAATCAATAATTAAACTCTTGTGATAAAAACATATTTTTGTTCGATTCTGCATACTACGTTCGTTGTTGTTTCGTTTACCGGTTGTCTGTCACAAACACTAAGTTGTCCTTCCTGTTGCAGGATCCAGGAGTTGGACGGAGGTTTCTTCGAGAGGTTTGGGTCGCTGGGACAGAAGGAGCAGCAGGCCGCACCTGAGGATGACCCCGAGCCGCCGCAGGACGATGTTGAGGAAGAGGCAGTCAAGAAGGAGATCAAGAAAGATCTCCTGGCAGAGGCCATCGGTCTTAACGTGAGTGAAGTCGTATGAATATAACCCACATCACGAATGGACGAAACAAGTCAGAATATACGCATTACACTGAAACATATGCATAATATTCACCCTTGTAACAACATTATAAGGATGCGTAACCTACATAGAAAAATTAACATATTATACCACAAATCCTAAATAGTTCATTGCATTTTGGTCGTTACTTAAATGATAATGAACTTATTTTGCCATAATACTTTTTACATTAAGCATTTATTCGTATTGATTTAATGCAACCGGGCTACTTAAAGCAAAACGACATGTTAAAACATCATAACTATGATTTTCTCAATATTGTTAGGAACAAGGTTATCTTCAATACCGAATTAGAAAATGTTCTACATTATACAGTTTTCCATTTTAGTTATGCCCCCCATAACATACAAACCAACAAATGGTTAAATTATTAAATCAACCTAAAATAGATGGGCAGATGAGGTATGTTGTGTTTGTTGTATTTGTATGTCATTCTCTATGGTGGGGTATTTAATTTAACCACGCAGGAAGTGTTGCGTGCAAAGTTCTCATTACTGGCCGCCGTGACTTTCAAATGTCAGTGGAAACTCGAGGATTTAACCTTTCACTTTCTTATATAAAATCAAGATTTGTATGATTTAAAAATTAATTAAATTTACATTTAAATATACGTTTTACTTTGTGGTATAAACTTTGTCTGACGTTTGTTGTCTTTCAAAAGAACATGTTTAGGCATACCTCTAATAAAGGTAAACCATAGTTGGCAACAGCAGCTACAACCAACCAATTATTCTAATATATATTCAATTTTCACTCTGGCAATAATTTATCACAATTCTGTTATGTGTTCTGGCTCTAAGGCACGAGTTTTTAATCTTTGGGATTACTGTAAACTGGTTGACATTTGGATTAAAAAAGTGTGTTTTTTGAAATTGATGGTTTGTCGATAGTTAGGCTTTAACTGAGTTATTTAATGGTATTGGCCAACCACAAATACATCAATTAGGGACCGTTAGCCAAGAGTGACGTCATAACTGGAGCTGCAAATAGCTCGGCCCACATTGAGATATACAGTAGCTAATAGTATAACTCCAGTATCAGCAACCAGTGCATCAATGACGTAGTAGTTCACATATGCTCGTGTACTTATTATTTGACACTACTGAGATAAAACTCACAACATAATATATTATATTCGAAATTTATCTGTGCACCGGTGAAGTAGTTAGTTCCCTTTCCCCACCTCGTACAGGGTATTTTGTTGTTGTTATTGTTGTATACGTCGCGTCAATATGGTAGAATTAATGACGGTTTTAAAGGAAAATTGTCCAAACCCCTCAAATTTGTTGTAAATGTGTTGGGGATCGAACCCCGTCCCTATCTCACCACCATCCAAGACGCTAATCTCACGTCGCTAATCACTCCGCTGATCCAGTCTTCAATGCTCAACCACGGCTAGATAATGTTCACAGGAAGCATACATTATTCGTGCAAGTGCAGGTCGTGCTTTAATTACCTTCCTCGGATAGCCTATTTAACAATAGTAGGCCTACTGTAGTATTTAATACTACTTTAATTATAATTGAGAGAACGGCCATAGAATGCATCATACGTGTAAGAGCAGACGCAGGCCGTGCATAAGTGACGTAGTACTTCCATCGATAGGGTAATATATTATGTACATACAAATATCCATATACATATCGACTTCACGTTGACTCTCGTGACAACGGTGGTTACAGTCTACAGATATAAATTGTAATGATCAACTATCAGAAACCTGAACAAAATCGATGTTATAGACTAAACGTCAATGATTGTCACTATTTAAAAATCAAGTAAGATCATTATCCTATGTAAATGGTAAGATATGTTGAACACATAAGAAACCCACCATCCCCAACCGTACAGTTTGTATAGGTGCAACATGTTTTGGCACTTAAATAAATTATCATAGGTCTATACATTTCCAAAAAATTTCAAGATGAAGGACCTTGCCCCCTCAGAGTAGGCTATTGTTGGACGCGCATGCCGCCGTAGCTGCCAACGAGCGATACCTTTAGAGAAGTTTAGTTTCGGTGGTCAGCTTCGCGAACGCGGAGTCTTCACTTTCCGTTTCATTTACTCAAGAGTGAATTTCGAATTTATTTACTTTGCAGATTTTTTTACTGTTACTTTATTAATTTGTTTGTAATCGGTTATACCAAAATTACTCTTTTATTATTATTTTTAGGTTTTTTAAAAACGTCTACGTTGGTATCCAAAACAGTTAGGAAAAGTGCATTAACCGTGATACTTCTCAACTCGAGAGTGCAAAAAATTAAAAAAACAACCATGTTTACTATTACGTGATAATAATATGCACTATATCATTGTAAGTTAGTTGGTGGTTTTTGAGTGCGGCACTTGTGTAGGATTAGGTTATCTGTGGTTTGTCTTTATCAATGAAGATGAAGACCATAGAGAGACATCACAATCCCTTCCGTGGTCTCAAAAAAGAGGAACTTCAGAGACAAACTAGTCTAGCACTCCAGTCTATGACTGTAAGTGGAAAGCAAAATGGTTCTGAACCACCGGTATTCATTTATAAAATTAATGATAACCTAAGTTTAACAAAATGCATTGAAATTTACAAAGACTAAATCAAAAAAGGATTTAAAAAAGTATGTCTGTAGTTTAATTAGCACCCAGAAAGTAAAAAGTGGAAACCACTTAACAGCACAAAATTGAAAGTACCTATTTAAGTTTATTTTGTTTTAACCAAAAAGCTTAATCTTATAACACCGATCTTCCTCCCCAGTCCATTCAAACATCAAGGTCGTTGCTTGTTTTTTTTTACCCGTCAGCTCTCTTAACAATAGAAATGCTCTAATGCTACACCAGGGCTTGTTTGGCATCAGAAATTATTAGTTAATAATATAAAGGTCGCATCCATAGATTTGGAAACCGTTGTTTTAAAATAAATGTGGACAATGCAATAGTGCTCTAACACCACTACAAATGCACCCTTTGAAAAAAAATTTAAAAAAACATTTATATCTTTGCCAAACTTAGAAAATTATGAATTTAAGGTGTTGACATATTATGCCTCTATTCCAAATTTAACAGAACACTTTTATGGTCATATTTTTATGTCTTTAGAATAATTTAAATTGTTATGATGTTTAGGCCTACTACAAAAGATCAATGGTATTGTTCCATTCTGATAGTGATATGTAAAGGAGAGGCAAAAGTTCAGGATGTTTATTTATTGACTCCCGGATTCTAGAAGCGTATTACTAAATGCATATAGGAGTTAGGATGCAGCACGTACTCAGCCAGGGAAATGGGTATATATATCCCAGGTTTAACACTGTAACTTCTAAATAAACGAATATAAAATAAAATAAATGTACACAATCATATATTTTTAACTAGCTGTTACCCACGGGATTCACCCCGTTTGACTTCATAATAAGTATAAGTATTAATAAAACTATTGATTTGTTAAGTTAAGCTGAAATCAACAAAACAGAGTACAGTACCTTATACAAAAAAATAATCACACCTGATTTTAGGTAATGGTAATAAATTGAAAGAATAACAATAAAATAAGTACAGCTGAGGTATTTTTACTTTCTCCCCCTATACCATAGTATATGGAGAAAGTATTGTTTTCGTCAAAATTTTTGAGTTTGAGTTTTGAGTGGATATATTCGTTTTGGGTCCCCCTGGACCCAAAAAAGTGGTTTTCGAAGTGATGTCTGGGTGTGTGTGTGTGTGTCTGTGTGTCTGGATGTGTACAGAGCTAGGGACTACACATGTGGTCCAATTCCGATTAAATTTGGTATGTAGGTTCTAATCCATGGTATCTCCAGGCCTTTTTTTCACTTTTTTGAAGTTTTAGCGAATTTCCCATATAGAGAATAAGTAAATTGTTGTAGTTTGCTTGTTTATGAACATATTTTGATCAAATTTGGAAAATGTTTTTATTTCTTACTAACTATTAACGTTTTACAAAAAAAAAAAAAAACAGTTTTACCCTCCCTGATGCAGCAAACCTAAGTACTAGTTAAACTAATTCTATTTAAATAGAGAATAAATGTTATATTTTTAAGTAGAAATTTCAGTGTAAATCCAATCAGTCAAATGGAAATTCGCTTAGTCTGCAGGTTTGCTGCGGCGGGGGTATTGATTTTTAATGGGGATTTTCCCAACAAACCCATAAAAAACGGAAAAATCGAATTTTCTCAAAAATGGTCCGAACGATTTTGATAAAAATTTAGTATGTTGTAGCTCTTTAAATTCTGAACAAAAAGGTACAAATCCCATTTCTATAAAAATTACGGTTCAAAAGTTATTGTAAATTATGTTATTTTCCCATAAAACAACGAAAAATAGGATTTTAAAAAAAATCCGGTTTTGATGTAACATAATATGTTATTGTCCTTACAATTTTGATAGGTTTTTTCATTTTTTTTTAATTTTGATTTTTAATGGGGATTTTCCCATAAAACCCCATAAAATAACGGAAAAATAAGATTTTCGCAAAAATGGCCCGAACAATTTTGATAAAAATTTAGTATGTTATAGTCCTTTATATTCTGAACAAAATGGTACAAATCCCATTCCTTAAAAAATTACGGTTCAATAGTTATTGTAAATTATGTTATTTTCCCCTTAAAACCCCCATAAAATAACGGAAAATTGGATTTTCTCAAAAGTGGCCTGAACAATTTTGATAAAAATTTAGTATGTTATAGTCCTTAAATTCTGAGCAAAATTGTACAAATCCCATTTCCGTATATTTACTCTCACCGCTTGCACGGTTGTTGACAAACTAATGGGAGAGAGTATGTGTCAGAATGCTGATATCGTTTATTAACATTAGGTCTCTATGGATAATCTGTTCACTTATTTCATAACTTCCAGCAGAGGTAAACACTTCCGAAACAGCAGCAAAGAGCCAAGAGGTTTGTTTGTGGTTGTGAAATGGGAATCAGGTCAACATAACATTAAACATTCAACACAACACACTACTCCAGATGCCCACCTGTATGTAGTGTTACAGTTACCACCCGAAATCTCTTATGTTGGGTGAAAATAAACCAGTAATCAAGTGGACTACAATGAAATTATAACTTTTATACTATTTTGAAAATAAAAAAATGTAGCAAGACAAAGGTACTGGATCTTAAACTTTCTGGTTAAGTGCCAATGCTTTGTAGCAAATAATGTCTATTACAATATGTTTAAGATAATATCAATGCCTCTTATGGGCACCAGCAGGGTGTGGCCTCCCCTGAGATAAGACCACATTATCATACAGTTAACTAATTAAACTTTGTAAGGTTTAATAAAATGCATACATACCAACATACCATACATTTTTAATAGTGGAAGAATATTAGGAAAATCGACCTAACAAATTCGGACAAGTGGAAACTTTGCACAGTTGTTTAGTAAGCCTAAATAGATAAAATATCAAAAGTCCCTATAAATCCCGGCTGTGCTTCAGCCGCCATCTTGGAAAATGGCGGCCAATTTTCACTTTTTTGAGAATATTTTACAAACTTTTGGTATTAGAGAATTTTTGTAAATACAAAAGTTAAAGAACGTCTAAAAATACATATTTTTATAATACAGTACAAGTTTTGCTCTATCTCTAACGGTTATTAAGATAAATAATAAAAATAGTATTAAATTTAAAATTCCCATGTTATTCTTATGGAGGAAAATAAAATTGTTGCAGTTTGCTTATTTATGGGTATATTTGAATCAAACTTGGCAAATTCATTTATTTTATACTAAGCTATTAATATTTAACATAAATACACACTTTAGTACCCTCCCTATAGCAGTAAACCTAGTACTCGTTTAATTTAAAGTTATTTATATGGGGAATATATATTACATTTTTAGGATAAATTTTTTGTATAAATCCAGTCAGGTAAATGGATATTCATTTGTTAATCGTATTAACAATCATTTTTTCTTATTGGTATTATGATTTAAAGCTCACTAACTATCTTGTCACTACTATGTAACTACTCAAAGCATACATGGTACGTTATTACTCCCGGTATAATTATTTTGTCGGTAAATATTAGGAAATTCAACCTTAAAATCCGGACTAAATTGAAATTTTGCACAGTTAAGCACAGTAAGCCTAGTTGATGAAAATGGCAAAAGTCCCCACAAATTCCGGCTGTGCTTAACCGCATTTAGTCCGGATTTTAAGGTTGAATTTCCTAATATTCACCGACAAAATAATTATACCAGGAGTAATAAGTAGGCTTACCATGTAAGTAGTTACATAGTAGTGAAAAGATAGTGAGTGGACTTTAGACTTTAATACTAATAAGGAAAAACTATTGTTAATCTGTCAAAAAATAAATTTCCATTTGCCTGACTGGATCATTACTAAAATACTTCCTAAAAATGTAAGAATATTCCCTATTTAAATACGGTAACTTTAAATTTAACGAGTACAAGGTTTACTGCTATGGGGAGAGTTATAAAGCGTTGTATTTATGTTAAATATTAATAGATTAGTATAAAATAAATGAATTTGCCAAGTTTGATTCAAATATACCCATAAATAAGCAAACTGCAACAATTTTATTTTCCTCCATAAGAATAACATGGGAATTTTAAATTTAATACTATTTTTATTATTTATCTTAATAACCGTTAGAGATAGAGCAAAACTTGTACTGTATTATAAAAATATGTATTTTTAGACGTTCTTTAACTTTTGTATTTACAAAAATTCTCTAATACCAAAAGTTTGTGAAATATTCTCAAACAGTGAAAATTGGCCGCCATTTTCCAAGATGGCGGCTGAAGCACAGCCGGGATTTATGGGGACTTTTGATATTTTATTTATTAAGGCTTACTAAACAACTGTGCAAAGTTTCCACTTAGTCCGAATTTGTTAGGTCGAATGGCAGTTTTATCCCTAAAATTCCTGGACTATAAAGAACATTTTTGATTTTAGAAAACCAACAAATGTGTTTCAATCAATAAAAATATTTCCAGGTGTTCCATATTCCTCATCCATTACCTTTCTCTAAAAAAAGATACTGAAAAAATATACTCACCCACTGAAAATATTTCCTGCGGGCGCCTTTGATTCATAGCCCAATGACAAATGGCATCTGGGTCTGGAAACGATCTTGCTTGGAATCCTGTTAAAGTGGATATTTTGTTGTTATTCACCCCTTTGCCAGACAAAGTAGAATGAATATTTCTGATCTTGTCTACCATTTACGGTAAATGTGTTTCCATCTTTAAAATTAACAGGACCTAGTAGGACTACATCTTTTCTTCGGTCACTCCTAGTTGTGTTTTCTAGATGGTTTAATTGATGTTTTGTTTGTGTCTACTCAGATTGATGAGCTGTACCTGGAAGTCCTTTATGAAGTGATCCACACAGTCGGCTGCATGAAGGAGCTTGGAGAACAGGAGGTCCTGTTGCAGTACCTGCAGAAAGCTTTCAGAATGGACACAGAGAAACACCAAACACTTCTTGAACAAGCAAGGAGTAAAGAGGTTTGTAAAGGAAACATAGCTAGCAATTATTTTATGAAGTATAAGTTTACACGTCATGAACCCGATTTCTTATTACTCTGTAAGAATGATAAAATGATCTTTGATTTTAAGAAACTTAAATGTTCTTTTCATTGGCAATAAATAACTGGTTAAGCTTAATAATATTAGGTCTCATCTTTGACTGCAGATCACTGTGCTGTCCACAGGAGAACAAAAATATTAAGAGTAAATAAATTGATTGGGTAGGTACTTTGGTGCTTGTTTCCATATATCATCGTGTAACTTATTCTTCTAATTGTGTACATCTTCCATAGTAACTTACTTACGTTATGTATGTTTTCCACTTTAAAAACTAAATATAGCATAAATCAGTGGGTAAATGGTTTTTCAAGTTGTATGATGAGGGAGGGGTTACGGTACCTTATCATTAATTTTTTTTTTAATTTGTTCTGTTCCTTATTTTTGTGAAAGAGAAACTTGATACAGTTACATTCTCAAATCACACGGGCTAGTACTATTAAGTATGAGTGCAAATTACCAAATTTTTCTATTTTTTCTTGATAGTTCTTTAGAGTATGTCTTAAGACAGACACGGCAAAGGGATGGGAGGTTGATTCTGATTCTATTGACCAAGTCATTTAAACTGTTCCTTTTTTTGTACTTTGGTAAAATTATAAACAACTTCTTAATCAGTGCATAGTAAAGTGTTTTTAAATTTAGGGAAAGTAAATAAAAATTTCTATTTACTCTTGAAATACTCGTACATATTAACACTTTATACTGTTTCCTTAAGAGATGGGAAATAAAAGATGGTATAAAAGATAAGTGGCGATTATTTGATTGGAATCTTTGATCATAATCAATCACCAACCATCCTTTATATGCATTTACCACCTTGAAAGTAAACAGAATCAGTGTAAATTCATTTTTTGAGTTCTATTAAAAGTATTTTCAATTTTCATTTACCTTCTGTAACATTACAAGTGCTCTACCCCAAACAAAACTCATGTCAACCCGGTGTTTTATGTAGGCCCTTCACTATTAAAAGTTATGAAATGTTCTCTCTTTTTTGTCAGTTTGGAAAAAAACAAAACATGCAATTACAAAATCAATCAAACTTAAACATTTAGAAGTTTTGTTACAGTTCCCAGTTAGTTCCCATAGTTCCAACTATTTTTACCAAAATTTAGTAAAAGAAATAAAGTTATACAAAATTCTGAATATTAAATGCCATTTACACTCCTTATAAATGTTATTTGACAACTTACTGTATGTTCCACTATTAATGTGTGTATTATTAATATGGAGAACTTTATATTTGATATCACAAAGAGTCTGGTTCACACAATACAGATTTTTCCAAGCATTTTTTCCATGTAACTACTCACAGTAGTGTTATTGTTCAATGAGAAAGAAAGTTGCAGCAACTCTACGATTGTAGTTTAGTAAATGCGTAATTGAATAACCAGTGTTTTTCTCCTTTGAAACTAAAAATATATCTGAGCCATTGTGTTCAGTTTACAAGAACAAACCAAGTGTAAACTTGCCTGTGTGTGATTCTAATTTCAGTATACTTATTTCTTTTCAACAATCTAAGTTTATCTTCTGTCTCTCTGCTGCTTTCTTGTCAATAGCCACCTTGAGATCAGTCTGCATTTCTGAATACTAAAAGAAGTTACTCTCCTTATTTCTTTTCATTAGAGTGTTCATACTATAATAAAACAAACATCTATCAATAATTATTACAAGTGTATTGTAAACCAGTACCTGTAGTAAGAGTTTAAAAATTATGTTTAAAACTAAAATTGTGTTTGATGTTAAATACAAATCATGTTGCATACCATCCACCTAAAATGTGATATCTTGAATTCTTTATCTATGATTGACATATATTTCCAGCCTCCAAATATTCTGCTGAATGTGCAGATTGTGGAAGCCAAAGAACTCCCCCCTAAAGACGCAAATGGTAAGTGTTGTTTGTGTTCTTAAGGCTCTTAAATAAGTACTTAGATACTGGTAGTACAAAGTTAAGTCAGAATTTGGATGAATTTGGTTGTGATTTAAGGTATACAACAGAGGATTTTTTCAGGTCCAAAATTATAACTAGCCTAAATGAAATACCCTTTTATTGGATAGAAATGTGTTTTCAATTCTGTTGTAGTTGTCTGTAGCAAAATTCCTCTGAGGTTTCATCCTTTTCTGGGGGAGAAGCAGAGTCTTGATTAAATTACGCTCAAGTAATACCAAACATGTTTTATAGACTGCCTAATATCTTTAGCAACAATATTTGACTTGCTCCCTCATTGCAGACTTTAAATCGCCCCATATTGTTAACACTTATTTTATTGTGTGACCAGGTCTAAGTGATCCGTTCTGCACTCTTTACCTGAGCTCAGACCCCAGACATCGCTACAACACTTCTGTCAAGGAGCAGACACTCAGTCCTATCTGGGAGGAGCACTTCTCTCTGTAAGTTCTAAACTATGACAACAATATAAACTTTTAAAACATCACCTTTAAAACACATTATATAAAAACATTACTACACGACATAGGTACTGAATTTCTTTTCCGTTTGACTTTTGATCATAAAATAATACTTTTACAGAAATTAACTTTGGTCAAAGTGCTTCAAAAATATTCCCACTGCAGCAAACCTGCCGACTTAGCGAATTTCCATTTGCCTGGATTGATTTTTAATTATTAATCTATTAAATTAACATTTATGTTTAACGAGTACCTAGGTTAGCTGCTACAGGGAAACTAATAAAGTGTGTTTTTTATTAAAATATCATTAGCTTAGTATAAAATAAATGAAAACGCCAAGTTTGATCAAAATTTATCTATAAACAAGCCAACTACAACATATTATAATATTCTCCGTAAGAATAACATGGGAATTTTAAATTAACAATTTTTTAATTTTCTCCGTAACCAATTATCGTACAAAAACACTTTCATATACTAAATATTTGTTTTTTTAAGCTCTTAAAAAAGTCTGGAGAGAAATTGATAAATTGTGTGTTTTAAGGGTAAAAAATGAGAAAAACCCATTTTTACCCCATAAAACCCCTGTTAAACCCCGTTCCCATGGTCCGATCATGCTGGTTCACGAACTCATTCAAGTTTATCCCGCCTTACACCTTCAAACCAAATTTTATCAAAATCGGACAAAGATTACTCAAGTTATCGTGCGGATGGACACATATATATATATATATATATATATATATAAATTTGAACAAATGGTGTTTTTGGCCTCTGGGAACATCAAAAATTAAAAAGTAAATCGGTCCCGGGCCTAGGTCTTGCCATGAGACCTACGGTAATAGCTACTTCCCTATAGGGAAATTCGGTAATATTCTGATATGAGTAAGAACAATTTAATTTTCTCATACCGTACTTATCAGAAATTATTCATTCCTATTTTATTAGTTATAAACCTTTGATCACCCTCCTCATGTATACAGTGGTGGATGCTTTAAATGCACAATAGTTTGCACTATGCCTATCAGTTACTTATGTACCTACCTGTTATGTTTCCAGGCCTATTGACACCCCAAGTGATGAATCCCTTTGCATTGAAGTTTGGTAAGTGTTATTTTTTTTTTAATCTCTTTGTCATTGACTGTTGGTGTTGGGTTATATGGTGGTCTTTGTTATTCTACAATATATTAGACTGTTGGATATACAAGACACAAATTTAATTACAGTTTTAGTGGTTTCAAATATTTTTCTTACAATATTCTTGCCCTTCTCAAAAATGTAACAAAACTTAAAACTGTGTCGAAAATATGTTATTTGAGTTCTGGGTATTTGAATAGAGTAAATCAAAGAGTTCTTAGCATTTAGAGGTAAACATTTCATTTTATTAATCTTACAAAATCATGTATAGTAACTCATATATTTTTCTTTATTATCTAGGGACTTTGATCCAGCAGAAACAGTGAGAGAAAAAATGACAAAGTTTACAGATGTGAAGGGTGTCAAAGGATTTCGGAAATTAATCAAGGAAATTGCAGTCACAGCTTCCACCGGCAAACATGACAATGAATTTATTGGCAATGCAATTGTTCAGCTAAAGGTAAGGTAGTGATTTTTTGAGATAGAAGTACCAAAAGTACTTAAACTGCTCTAAATGATAAGGTATTTTAGCGAATTTCATTTTTTGTTTTAAATTGACATAACTTTTGGACAAGCTATGCTGCCTCTCATTTACTTTATAATTAGTTCACCAACTTTTCTTCATAATAATTGAATTGAAACTTTAATTCTTGTATGGCACAAAAGAGTCACTAATTTTTTTGCTCGCCAGGCACCCTTCTTCCTCCAAAGAAATTTGAAATGCCTATAAGAAGTAGAATTGATTTGAGTGTTAACGATCCAAATTTTTTAAATCTCTAGGTTCCAAATTTGTTGTACAGAGTAGGGTAGGTTTTAAAAACCATGAAACATTCAAATTTCTTTCTGCTTTGTCATTGGAACCTTGTCAGTGTTTCCCTATCCCTTATTTTCTGAAATCCTATCTCAACTATTCTACTTTTACTCAAAAAGACTAATTTTCTTACAGAACATACCTGCTACTGGACAAATCATGTGGGTGAATCTAGAAAAGAAAAATAAGGTTCGCCGTCAAGGAATTGTTAGAGTGAAAATTGCCTTTAGCACTGAAAAAAATTCCCAAGCAGCAACACAAGAACACAGACATCTTCTGAGGATATTTGCGATGCACGAAATTGAGGCTTTACAGGTAAGCTGCCACATGAATCTTTTGTATGTTTTTCATGATGTGTGGCATACCTTGTGCCACACCTTGGTGATCTGGTCATGCGATTCAAGTTCCTGACCAAATCGTTCATGTTGGAAACGTTAACTGAACACATTATTTAATCAAGAGGAGACAATTTACCGCAATTCACAGGCCCTAAGAGCCAGCTTTGATGAGAGTTTGATTAATTAAGCCATTATAACACTGAAATTCGTGGATTGTTCAACTTAGCGGATATTTAGTATATAAGTCAACTGGTCACAACGTGAACTAACATTTGAATTAATAATCAACAATAAATGACGGAATGAATGAAATAGTGAATTTGACTAGATGATCTGAAATTACATATTATTAAAATACTATTACTACGACACAATACCTCAAAGGGGGCGTCCCCCCGTATCCCAACGAATTTACCCTTCCATTCTTGAAGACAGCAGACACACGACAATCGCTTTCGCGACGTCTCTCCCCATACCCCACCATGCGCATGCGCGACCACAGAGTCCTGGTGGCGTATGATGGTTTGAAAGTGGCGGGCTATTTAAATGATAGTGGATTGATCTCCACAGATGCGACTAAAAAACTATTGAAATAAGCAATTACAAAATAAATATTTTCAAATACTGTTTACTAGGTGAAACCAGTTAAAAAAATCAGTGATTACTTTGTTAGCGTATTCGATGGAAATCAGCAATTTGCCCCAGCACATACTCTGTCGGCGGCTTAATTTAACTTCATCCATATTAATTCTAAAACTGGTGACAACTTTAACATGGGGAAGGAAAATGTATATTTCTAATTTATCAATATAACAATTTTATAATCATAAATGAACATTGTGAAGTTTAAACCATATAAATTGTTACACATTCTGAAATATTGCAGGTGGTGTATTTCTTCTAACAAAAGGAATTGTTCTATACATTTAAATACCTTATTTACTAACTCATAGACGTTGTGTTGACTGCAGTCTGAGGAAGGGGTAGAGTGGAACGGAGGGTTGAGTGCTGCTGCGGAGAGTATTCTGCAGCAACACGTTGCGCAGAGCAGCATGACAGAAACAGACGAGGCTCTGGCGAAGTGGGTCGCGTATGCAGCCATCAACACCACTCATGCAGTAAGCTGTGCAGCCTTCCATTCAGCACTGCAGAAGCTGATCAGACCCATCAACAATGGACTACTCACGGACGAAGAGGTATCAAATCAAATCAAATCAAATCAAATCAAAATCATCTTTATTCATTTTTATATACAATATGTATACATAAATGGTGTCAATATAAAACTATTACTAAACTTAAAGACTAACATAGTGTTGCTTAGTTTTTGTATGGAATTCATTAAAACTATAAAATGCACCTTCATTTAGAAAAGATTGTAAAACATTTTTAAAATTGCCAGAGGTTATTTTATTTTTAATTTAAATTGGTAGGCTGTTAAAAAAGATAATCCCATTATAGCTTGGCTTCTTTTTAAAAAACTCTTTGTTATGTTTTGTAATTTGAAAATCATGTCTTTGTCTAGTATTATATTCATGTTTGTCGAGATTTTTTGATAATGTGCCAATTATGTTCTTTATATAGAGAATAGTGTTAAAAATATAAAGGCTGTAAACTGTCATTATCCCTAATTCTAAAAAATAAGTTTTACAAGGAGTGTCATATTTTAGTTTTAACATAGTTCTTAAGGCTTTTTCTTGCCAACATAAAATGCTATTCATGTTAAAATTTGAAGTAGCTCCATAGACTTCAATGCTATACGTTATGTGTGAATGAATTACTGAATAATAAACCGATTTAATTGTTTTCAAATCACAGAAATTTGACAGTCTCTTTATAGCAAAGATCCCAGAACTTATTTTAGAGCAGACTTTATTAACGTGACCTGTCCAATTAAGAGTACAGTCCAACGCTAAACCTAAAAAATAAGTATTTTCACAAAGGTTGAAAGGTGGCGCTGTTGAAGTATACACCTTCACTTTAGCTATATGGTACATGTAATAAGGTATATGATATGTTGTGATAGTTATAAAGTGATACCGGTATACAGTATAGTTTAGAAAAAATATGTCAAATAAATCATTTTAAAGAAGGAATTGCTGTAGAGAGGTTTCTTATTTCTTGTGAATATAACATTACCGCTACATTTGATTTGTTAACAGACCAATGGAAATCAGGGTGTTACCTTTGACTATGTCAACGGTGTTACTGAGTCCTCTTCTAAAAAAAAACATATTGTTTGTGGCCTTTTTATAGACAAATTAAATTTGTAAACAAGATGAAACAATTAACAAATAAGGTATGTATTTTGTTTGGAGGTATTTATTTGTTTGGAAGAAACAATCACAGAATAAAATATTGATCACAGATCAAGAATAAACGATCTCAACTTTTTAGAGTTTTGTCTTTAAAAGAAGCTCAGAAAATAAACAAAACAGACAACTTCAGTACCGGTAAGTTATTTTCAAATCAATTGTTTAAACTATCATTATCATTTATTTTCATCATTGTAATGTAAACATAAAAATTAATCCAAAATGAATCATTAATTAAATAAGGTAATATGAATGTGTGTTTACAGTTTAAATCATTTTGGGATGCTGCAAAGAAAATGTTACCATCATGTTTCAAAACTATCAAAAAACTTCGAAAACTACCTCCAGCAGAAAAGAGCACCACAACTCTCCTTACAAATACCCTTAGGTAAGAATTAAAACTAAAACCGTTTGCATAATATAAAAAAAAGTAGGGACGCAATTCAAGATTCTTGTCATTCGCCTATTAGTCCAGGACCTGACTAGGGTTCTGTGTGCATGTCGTGTATAGTGAATTTTACTTTTGCATTTCAATATAGGTGTCTTAGGAAGTGTTTTCCACTCGGGTGTCAAGTTCGCACCTGGTACGTTTTCGAGCTATGACGTCATCAAGATGGCGGCTCAGCAATTTTTGAATGCGTATATTTCGCGAACCGTTTAATGGATCAGGATGATTTATTTTTTGTTTGAAAGATATTTTTACACCCTATCTTTCTTGTATTTACACTTTTGTTGTAAACTTAATATTTATCTCACTATTTTAAAAAAACGTGTTTTTTATTATTATTATATTTATTGTTTTGCTTATAACTTCTTAACCGCTGATAAAATCAAATACCACCCATTGCAAAAGTTGCAGATGATTCTATACCCTTTCCAATGATACCAAACAATATGTGATTAGACCTAAAGATAAAGCAAAGAGATTGAATAAATCGTAAACGAACACTGAAAGTGGTGTACGTTCCGGGAAAGATTTAGTCTTGGACATGACTAGAATTCTGTGTGCATGTCGTGTATAGAGAATTTTGCTTTTGCATTTCAATATAGGTGTCTTAGGAAGTGTTTTCCACTCGGGTGTCAAGTTCGCACCTGGTACGTTTTCGAGCTATGACGTCATCAAAATGGCGGCCATTGATTTTTTTAAATCGTATATTTCGCAAACTATTTGTCGGATCGGAATGAATGTTTTTTTGTTTGAAAGATAATTTTAAATGCTAACTGTTTTACGTTTACACATTTGTTGTATGTTTAGTACATTCTTCGTAATTTTGCAAAAACCTGTATTTTTAAATATTTTTGAGTTGTTTTTGTTTGTAACGTTTTATTGATACAATTTATCAAAAACCACCAATGAAAAAAGTTGTAGAACATTTAAAAATCTTTACAAAAATACCAAATTCGATATGTTTTACTCAAAAGATTACGTCAAGAAACTAGATAAATCTCATAAAAACACAAATTTTGGCGCAAAAACGCCTATTAGTCCGGCCTCTAGGGCAGTTCGCAAGTCTTATAAAAACAGTTTCGCCATTCAATGTTGATGTACGTGTCTAAATAAGGGTTTTCAACTCGGGTGTCACGTCTGCACCCACTGCAGTTTCCGGTTATGACGTCATTAAAATGGCGGAAAGGGCTATATTAAAAATAACGATATTTTACATACCATGTATTGGATCGGAATGAACTTTTTTTTGTTTGAAAGATAAGTTTACATGCTATCTTTCTTACATTTGCACTTTTGTTTTATGTTTAGTACATTTTTCGTAATTTTGCAAAAACCTATATTTTTAAACATTTTTGTGTTATTTTTGTCGATAACGTTTTATTGATACAATATATCAGAAATAACTTAAAAACAAAGTTGTAGCACGTTAAAAGAGCTTTACAAAAATACCAAATTCGATATGCTTTACTCAAAAGATCACGTCAAGAAACTAGAAAATCGTACAAAACAACCTAATTTTGCGCAAAAACGCATATAAATCTCAATCCGTGCAAATGGAAATTCGCTTATTCGAAAGGATTGCTGCACCGGGGGTATTTATATAGTGGAAACATTCCTATGGACTAATTACATTGATTTGTTGTGCTTTTATTTGCATAAAAGAGGGTAATGGTCTTATTTTAAGTAAAATAGCTGGTGAAATCGTAACATGTAGCAATTTTTAAGACATCATAATCGGAAACTGCAGTGGGTCCAGACGTGACACCCGAGTTAAAACACTTCTTTAGACACATACATCAACATTGAATGGTAAAACTGTCTATATATGACTCGAACACAGCCATCGATGTCGGATTTATATGCGTTTTTGCGCAAAATTAGGTTGTTTTGTACGATTTTCTAGTTTCTTGACGTGATCTTTTGAGTAAAGCATATCGAATTTGGTATTTTTGTAAAGCTATTTTAACGTGCTACAAATTTGTCTATAAGTTATTTCTGATATATTGTATCAATAAAACGTTATCGACAAAAATAACACAAAAATGTTTAAAAATATAGGTTTTTGCAAAATTACGAAAAATGTACTAAACATAAAACAAAAGTGCAAATGTAAGAAAGATAGCATGTAAACTTATCTTTCAAACAAAAAAAAGTTCATTCCGATCCGACAAATAGTTTGCGAAATATACAATTTAAAAAAATCAATGGCCGCCATTTTGATGACGTCATAGCTCGAAAACGTACCAGGTGCGAACTTGACACCCGAGTGGAAAACACTTCCTAAGACACCTATATTGAAATGCAAAAGTAAAATTCACTATACACGACATGCACACAGAACCCTAGTCAGGTCCTGGACTATATTGGGTCTGATGATGATTGGAGTGTCCAATTGAAATCGATCACCACTTACCATCTTTTTTGTATATTTACCGTTTTGTGAGTAACAGTATAAGAGTAAATATATGTTTAAAGTGTTATAAGATGTCTCTTTTATTTACTTTCTATAAAAATACACGATGAGAGGATGAAACAGCATGATTTTGAAATGTACAGTCTTAATTTTGCAGTTTATAAGAAAATAAATGACATATCATGAAAAGTATGTGCACTCAATCATTTTTCCACTTAGACATTTGAAATTAAATATAACACTTTCATCAAACTGGTACAGTATTTTTAAATTTTAAGTGATTTTTGTAATTCAATGTTAATAATCATACCTCATTAAATCAAACTTCAAAATTAAATCAAACCTCATTAAATAGTTAAGTTTTTATTATTTTTTCAACTTATGGCTCATTCTTTAATATTATTGTCTGTTTTTATAGCATATTATCAACACTGAATTCCATGCAGTTACCAAAGGGTTTAGACCTGTTTCCTCAGTCAGTGTATGGTTGGCTCACTCGATCCACAAACTGTGATATTCGTTCTGTCGTGGAAGAGGCAATAACACAGGCAGCCGTGGACTGGTAGGTTCTTACATAGTATAATGTAGCATTACTGCCTAGTCTAAAAATAACTGATCCATCATTAGATGTTAAATACTTTTGTGTCGTACTGTTGTATTACATGCATATACTCAATAAAGGATAAAAGGAATATCGTTACTATTCCACATTTTAAAATGCTAAGTCAGACATACCAGTCATATGCTTATAAAAAATGATACAGTATATCTACAAACCATATGTCCATGATAAAACAGCATGGTTTTTTACCATTCTAAGGTCAAAAACGTTTTACTCGTGGCATATGAATCTATCTGCTGTCAAATTTTTATGAAATGATTGAAAAATTGTCCCAATAGCAGAAGTTGTGTGCACAAAGGCTTAATAACATCACCTGTATCATATGAGAATTCTTGTTTTTATCTAGCTGCATGTACTTGACACTTCAACTAAAACTTTTTTAATGAAAAGTTGTTTTGAATTACAGGTTCATCCACCTCACCGATCACAGCAAACCTGAAGACAGTTCAGAAAAGTCCAATTTGAAGCACAAAATTAATATTGTTAGATTGATTAAATCGGATCTTCAAAAGGCCATCGAATTCCATGAAAAGTTGTTTGTCACGTAAGTAGCAGAAAATTATTGGTTTTGAAGATTTGTTCAAGCTATGCAAAATTTATATTATTTACTTACTAAACCAACACACTATCTGGTTACCTTAAGTCAATACAGAAACGCTGAGTTTTTCAAATAGTGAAAAACATAGTTTTTAGAGAAAACTGTTTAACAGAATACTATAATTAATAATAGTTGGTACTAAAAATATTTTTTTCGGCATTAGGAGAACCTAAGGTTGAGGTAAGCTAAGTGTAGACTATGACAATATTGTTCACTAAACAATTAAATATATTTTTCAGGATGATACAAGTTTCTTATGCGAAGACTTTGTATACCATTTTTGAGTGTAAAGTAAGTACTCTTTTATACTCTTTAGAAAGTAGCTCTATACTAAGGATAGCTATGATCCTAACAGTTATATGATTTGAGCTAATTCAGGAGTAATAGTTAATGAAATAGCATTTTTTTACTAAATTAGATACTGTATAAGGCCGGCCACACACAGAACCAGACAAGGCGGGGCGCGACAGGGCATTTTGCCCCGGGGCGTCTTGTGCGACGGGAATCGCACGGGCGCTTATGGAGCTCCACACACAGGACCGGGCGAGGCAGGGCACGTCAAAAAGACACCCCCGGGCGCCCTCAGGGCAAAATGCGAAGGTCTCCAAAATTATGCCCCGAGGCAAGTCGCTGCCGGGCAGAACTTTCTGCGCATGCGCGGTCATGTGATTTATTCCCTTACGGGCTAATTTTGATAAGGATTATTTTACAACTGATACAATTTACATATAAGACTAAAAATTTATACGACCAAAGATTACATCCTTTGATAAGACTATACAAGTCGTAGTGAAGTAGTGATATTACTACAGTGGTTGAATACCTTACCTAATAGTTTATCTTGGCATTGATAACTGAGGAAAGAGAGGGCCAACGTTCATGTATTAAGGGTTTCAATAACCACTCCTCTGGAGGTATGACTTTGAATTTTATTTTCTATTCTGCTCCCAAGTATAAAGTAAAATTTAAAAGTTGGATAAATCGGCTCAAGGCTCAGAAATAAAAAATCCTATATTAATTTTCAGGTTTATGGGGGCTAAACTTTTTACTTGACGTGCCCTGCCTCATTCTGTGTCTGACAGCAACAAGACAGGGCTTAAGTCAGGCGTCTCGTCGTGCCCTGTCGCGCCCCGACCCGCCTGGTTCTGTGTGTGGCCGGCCTTAAGAGTGGAAAATGTGGTTGCAATAGGATTGGTTTCTGGCTTTTGCCCTAATTAAATAAAGTCAGTGCAGCTGTTTAAAATTTGTGTCCAACTTTTTATGTAGTGGTAGTAAATTTCTTAATTGTTTTACATGATTAGTTGAAATTTTTGGATTGAATTCCAAATAAACCCCACTTTTTCATCGGTGCCACTCACACCTATGCTCATACAACATCTTGATTTTAGTTTTCTAAATAAGTACAAATCATTAGTAGGTACCGGTATACAAATTATTGAAATTATTTTTGATTTGCTAGGTAAGTGAAATGACTGAGCCTTTAGTGAATGACATCTGTGCAAGTCTAAAACCCCTGAGGTATAAGGACAATTCTCACACAGCCAACATGGAGGACGACCCCCTGGCACTGGGAACAAGTCTGTTTGAACTCTACATTGAACTTCAGAGGCTGTCAGTGTAAGTCATCTACTATCTGGTCTAACTAGTATTTCATTACGCGAGCACTATGAATTGGAAGGTCACTGGTTTTATCCTGAAAAAATGTAGTAGCAGATGACCATTGGGCTTCTAAAAATGTTTACTAGTTAAGAAACAGCTAACCACGTGAACAGCTGAAACGCGCCTTGCCACGCTAACATGTATTATTTTAAATGGCACCGGTAATTTGTTCTTTACGATAAATAATTAAAACTATTGTACCTGTTGCTCGAATTTAAGCAATTGTGAAGTATTACATGCGTTATTTTAAAACTAACAACAGTCACAGTTTCCGATGACTTTAAAATAGTCGACTGTACCTAACAGTTCAATATAATAAACATTTCTTATAAATACGAGGGCTATCCAGAAAGTAGATTACGTTTTAGTCTGTATCCGCTAGGGGCGGGGCCGGCGCGACCATCTTGGTTATAATTCGTTATGCAGCTCAGTCGGCATCTAGCCGTGCTAGTAAGAGGTTTCTGCTGTACTCCATTGAGTTACTGTGACAGTTTAAAATGTCTATGTTAATTGAAAATTCCTCAAACTTTGTACAATTATTTTGATGACGGTACCATTTTCAAATAATATATATCATCATATCATAGTATTATTATAAATGTGAATGTTTGTGTGTTTGTTTGTTTGCTTTGTTTGTTTGTTTGTTTGTTTGAAATTCAATAACACATTAACTACTGGTCGGATTGGGCTGAAATTTTGTATGATGATAGCTCACACTCCTGATCTTATCTCAAAAATCCTTTCGGGCTCTGCCCCAGTGGCTCTGGAGTGTCCCATGTTGACCTTATGAGTATTAGTTTTTAAAAGGAATTAAAGAATTTTGTCAGCTGTTTCAACTACAGAAGTTGGTTCTGTAATATTCAATATCATTAAAAATGTATAAGGTTTGCCAACCGGGTGAAACACCATTAATTTTGTTTGCATTTATGGCAACAGCTAATCTGAACCAAGCAGCAAAAAAAAGCTGTGATACACAATGATAACTGTCAAAGTAGGATTACAGTTAAGTTTATGTTTTTAATTTATAAACAACTATATCAGAGTAACCGTCCTTTGTACGGGGTTGGCATATAAGTATAAAATGTTTATTACATTTATGGGAGAGGATGCGGTCTAAGAAAATTTGGTTCTTTAATAATTAATACGGTATGCTATAGTATATCAGATCTACCATAGGTATAATCGTTCTACGACTGCACCTAAACCATAGAAAAAAGTAAAGTTCTCATTGTGTACCACAGCTTTTTGTTGCTAGTTGGTTCAAATTAGCTGTTGTCATAAATGCAAAAAAAAATAATAGTGCTGCACCCTGTTGGTAAACCTTATAACTTTTTAATGCTATTTAATATCATAGAACCAACTTGTGCAGTTTAAACAGCTGATAATATTATTAAATTCCTTTTAAGTATGAATACTCATAAGGTTAACATGGAAAACTCCAAAGCCACTAGAGCGGAGCCTGAAAGGATTTTTGAGATAAGAATAAGAATATGTCTATATGTTAATCGGGAATGTAAGCTATCATCATACCAAATTTCAACCCTGTCGGTTTAGAATTTTTCACGTTTACTTGTCACTAACATCCATCCATACATCTGAACTTTCTCACTATTAGTAGGATATTTTTGATATTGTGTGAATATTCGATAATTAAATTTTTTTATTGCTTAGGTGTAGTGGTAGAACATTATGGCTATATAGTAGATGTGTTATACCATAGACAAAAAGAAAGAAATATAGACTGTCAGCCGTGCTGTGGTTGCCATGGTTACCATAGGTTCCGGCGCACACCGCTGTAGTTTACGTAGCGCGTACGCCGTAACTACCGTGGTGCTCCAAGCGGAGTGCGCCAGAACCTATGGTAAACGCAGCACAGCTGACGGTCTATATTTAATTCTTTTTGTCTATGGTTATACTATAGCATAACCAAGCATATCTGAAGTTAAAAGAACCAAATTTTCTCAAACCCATTGCAAATACAAAGCACGAGTATAACTGCAATAAGCATTTTATACTTCTACGCTAACCCTGTACAAAGGACAGAATTCTGCTAATTGTATAATAAGAGCATATTCTATTATCTATTTTCAGAGCCTCGGATTTAGCTTTGTAAAGTAAATGAGTGAAAATTTAAAAACGTACGTTTTCATGTCCCTAGCCTTTTACTTCGTAGCTACTGGATTTGTAGTTTATTATTATGTGTTTTAATATTTTTTGGGATGGGGGTAACATGTTACACACATTTATTTGGTTTTAAATAGGTTCTAGGTATTTTTTTCGTATTTTTAAAGTCTCGAAATTCACGACCATGACGTGTCCCTAGGGTACATTTTCCAACTTTCACGCTGTTTTTAGACTAATTATTCATGCAGCAATATATAAAGCCATATTTTTATGTCATCAATGGTTATTAAACTTACAAAAAAGGAGCATATTATAATTTTATTGTCATTGCAAACTGACTACCATGACATAATAAGTCTGTCCCTCGATTTGGCGTCACGACCATTTGGGAAAATTTTTCAACTTTGGAGCACGACAGTGGCAAGCCTGGCGTTGATGGAGTCAGTTGGTTTTAGAGACTAGTTCGGGGTGTACGTCAGGATTGTAGTGCCGGTCGTTTCGAGTTGAAAGGAGGAATTACAAGATTAATACAGGAAAGGTTGTGTTTTTTGTAATTTTGGTGTGTCCATGACCGTACATAGTCATTCGATGAAGTAGACATGGTGTTAATTTTTGTTTATAAGATATTTCAATTGCTAGATTAACCTAGAAGTCCACTTTGTATCCTCGAACATGAGGTGCAGAGCTACCGCCAGAACAGAGCCAAATAACACGTAATTTCACGACCAAAGTTTCACGACCATCGCGGGTTTTTTCACGACCTATCCAGCCTTATGGATTATAGTGTGTTTGGTCGTGACAATAACTTTAATATAATTGTAATTTGAACAGTTTAGTTCAATTGAAACACATATTTTTATTATAACTAATAGTATAATTAAAGGATTGTTTAGAAAGATTTAGATTTTTTTATAAAATTCACGACCGTACCGCTTGTCCCTGACCATCACGTTTATGATTTCTGTCATAAAAATTTCAAAAATTAAAATATCGTCATATTTCAATGTTTTATACACAAATGAAGCACGCCTCTATGCAAACATAACGATTTTTCGGGTCTCAGGTAAGTTTTTTCGGAGTTATACAAACTTAAAAAGATATTATTGGCTTTTTTTCAATTTTTTTGAGTTTTTTATTTTTTTCTAGAAAGACCAAATATACTAAAAGCTCAGTGACCTTTTTAATGTATAATGGTCATAAAAGTAAATTAGTTTATAGCAAAACATAGTTATAAAAATAATATTAACTATTTTTAATATTCATTTAAACGTCTGTTATGGTCGTGACAGGATTTTGTGTTTTTCCACTAAAGATGCTCTTTTAAAAAAAAACTACCAAAGATATTGCGTTACCATGGACATTTTATGAAACTTCAAATGTTAATGAAATAAAAATAATAATAAAAGTTTTGAAAAAATGGGAAAAAAATTTGCAAAGTGTGTTTCCTGAAAACGTACGTTTTTAAATTTTCACTCAAATATTTTTTTAGCAAATTTCCTTATATGAAATATGCTGTTATTGTAGGCCTCGTGGTAAGACCTGGACCCGGGACTGATTTACGTCATTGTTTTGAGGTCCCCAGAGGCCAAAAAGACCCTTAGTTCATTCATGTGTTCGTAAGGGCAATAAATCAAGCGGTTTTGATGAAATTCGAGTAAATCTATGTATCTTTGAATGAGTTCGCGAATCAACCGTTGCTTTGCCTAACGGTTACGGAGGAAAAAAGTGTTGGCCTTTGTTCAAAAATTTCCTGTTATTCTTATAAAGAATAAATAAAATGTTGTTTGTTTGTTTATGGATATATTAAATCAAATTTGGCAGTTTTGTCTATTTCATACTAAGCTTTTAACATTTTAATGAAAAACATACCTCTTCCCTGTAGCAGCAAACCTAAGTACTCATTAAAATTAATGATATTTAAATGGGAAATAAATCTGACAATATTAAGGGAATATTTTAGGAGAAGTCTAGCCCTAGCCAGGTAAATGGAAATTTGCTTAGTCTGCAGTTTCACAGCGGGTCTATTTTTATGCTGCATTTGTTTAAAACTTAATTTTAATACATATTTTGATACAGATAAATTGAAATATATTTTTTTTATTATTTATCACAGCTGACTAAATTAACCATTACATTGCAGCCTAGGTACAGCAATCTGCCCATCGGAGTCTGATAACTTCCACATCACTCGGTTCCACACATGGTTCCATCGTGGAGTCGCTCACTGGCTAGATATTGCAGTTTACAAAGCAATGCATCGCATACAGCGAGCCGTGGAACTTGATGAACTCATCCCTATAGATTCAACTGTCAGATACTCTTCTTCTGCTGTTGACACCCTTCATATATACCACCAGGTAAGACGCAATTGTGTCTTATTCATTGTCAAAATAAAATTTCATTCAGTTTCTCCAAACAAACAAAATAGGTGTGTTGTGACTTTTGAACTTATTTTAGTTTCCATTTAAATAATTCAACCTCAATGAATGTTCGTTTCTTATTTATTTTCATACTATTGTAATCACTCTGCAACAATGGAATTTCAATAATTTACATAAATTTACCTGTATGGAATTGGGAAAACCAGCAGGTTCACCATAGGAGATATTATTATCATTTCTACATTAATTAGTATCCTCTACTACTCATTGAAGTTGAAAAATTTTGTATAGTAATTTGTTTCTTTTGCAGATAAAAACATTCTGGCAACAATTGTCGTGGCCCGATGTTGAAGGATCATACACGTTCGTTGCAAAAATCATGGATGTAAGTAAATGTTCCCTATTTTTATTGCTCAAAATAATTACAGAACAACTTCAATACAACAATCCTAGGTATATATTTTTTTCGGAACTGAAGAGTTTTGTGGAGATAACATTTTCCCTCTACTTAATGAACAAACTGAACACAACCTTAATATATACAATTTTTAGTAAACTTGGCAAAATAAGCCAACCTCAGTTAAGCAAATTTCTTGTGGTAGAGTCTCTATATAAGACAATTCCTACAACTTCACCTCATTAATAATGAACTTAAAGTATCCTACAATAAAAAGAAGAAAAAATTGTGTTTCAACATGAAAGCTTATAGTTAAAGCAACAAGAATTGGTGTGCCGTGATGAAAAGCTATGAAATGTGTCTTGAAGGTACGTGAAAGTTTTCTTGAAAAGGTCTGTTTGAGAGACAATGGATAAAAACTATCACCAAATTACATTGTTCATATCGACTTGACCATGTTGACAGACCACTATCACAGAACTTTTTCCTAACAAACAGGATAAAGAAAACCTATAAAATACAACATACAAAATAGGGTGGGCATTATTTTTCAGTAGTCTATGAGTACTGTAGTATATTGATTTTACTTTCTGTACCTTAGGCCAGTTCTAGACATTTTCTTATTGTAAGCGAACAACATTCTGGCCCCCTCCCCATAAAAAATGTATGGTAGTCAGTGCCGAATTTTGGTAAAATTGTTGCGGGCTACAGTGTTTTGTAAACTAAAACAACTTTTCAGAAGAAAAATTGAACTTTTTTATTTTCTAGAACTTATTATTTGCCAAGATTGCGGGTAACGATTAAGATGTCCCGTGATCGCAAGAGACGTTCACAATTTAACAGGGTCTGCGGGTAGGGATAATAATGAGGTCTCCGTGACTGTGGAAGATTTTCACCGTTTCAAGGCCATCGCAGGTGGTAATAATCTTGTTTCGTGATCATAGAAAATATTCACGATTTCGTAGGGATTGCGGGTAGCGATTATGATGTCCCCGTGATTGTGGGAGATGTTTACAATCTGGAAGCGCATGCGGATAGCCATGATGATTATGTATCCATGATTGCAGGAGATTTTGCAGTTTCATGGCGATCGCAAGTTGACAATGATAATGTTTCTTGATCATGAGAGATGTTCACAGTTTGTTGGCGATCCCGTGTTTGTTCGGGTTAGTTTGGCCTAGGGCCGCAAGTACCCTAACACACTGATATTAGTAAGGACTATTCGGATACATGAAAAAAGTAAATAACAATTCTTATACGAAACGTGCAAATGTCTGCCGGACTAGTCAAAGTAGATAACAGAGCGGTGCCCGACGGACGAGTCCATTTGATATCATTTGTGGAATTCTTATTTTGGGACAATAATAATAAAGTAAAGGGATTGTGTTTAAGGGTCTCGCACCTTATGATAAACGATTTACCCTAACTCCTTACTCATACAGCCATATTTTGGTGATATATATTCAATGCCTTTAGTCACCTTCCATTAATTAATACTGAATATCAGATAATGTTTAGGCCCCCCTTTTACTTAGCGCCCTACGCAACCAGTGGCGGATTTACCTACGGCACCGCCCCTAGGCCCGTTCGGCCGGCCGCCCCTTTGTGTTCCGCGATTGAGGAAAGGTTTCAATTGCATAAAAGCAATATTAAACTTCCCGTTGTTGGCATGCTTATTAATGCATTTTCCAGGAAAAACATAGTCACTATATGAGTAGGGCCTACTTTATATTAAAGTTGTATTACTAGGTTTTAAGAAAAACATATATTTAGTTGTTGAGAGTTGAGACAAGAATAAATATGAATATGAATAGCCTAAATAAACGCCGAACGCATTCCCGTTTTTGACTAAATTCAATTCAAATGTATTCAGCTTAAATTAGTTTGTTTTGGTTTTTTTTATAATTTCTATGAAATTATTAATACATATATAAATTTGAATTTAGGTGTTAACGTAATAGGGCTGGTGATAATATATTAAATTACGGTAGTAAAAGTACAACAGAGAACCCTAAAAATTATATTTCTAGTAGATATATATATTCCAGTTAGTTATATAGATATACTGTATATACAGGGTCTTTTTAAAAGAATGCCGGGATTTTAAATGATAATTGCTTGGGTAATATTCAAGGCAACTAAACGTTTTATGTAATATTGAAACTAAAATAACTAAGTTTTGTTTCTCCTTTAGCAAGGGAGGAAATTTTGACCTTGACATGCGCAAAACAGGTGCCGCGGTGGTAGGCCAATATTGTGACCCATACGCCAGTCGCTAGTATGACGTTTGTTTACGGCACAACAGAAGACACAAATTGTAATTGAGGTTCGCATGGTTTATATCACAGCCACCTCTAATACAAGGCCGCGACGTTCGAACTGGCAACGCCGCAATCACACCCCCTCTGCGTCCGTCTTGAAACGCGCTAGGCTATGAACATCAATGAGAGTATTGCTGATCTGTATCAATGAATGAAAGTATTTAAATACGTAATAACATATTTTAGTAGATTTTTAAATATGGTAAAATAGACAAAATTGGAATCTATGTTGTTTATTTAGTGAAAAATTGCAACATACCGCAATATGTCTAAAACTAAAAATATACAAACATAATGTTTTTGGTTGCATTTATCGTATTGTAAGTACGATGATTGTGGAAATAGATGGACTTTTACATATTTCCTTTGTTAATTTGATAATCTACACTATTGTATAAAAATCTCATGGTGTCTGTATGTGTATATACAGTATGTGTGTTATTCAACATAGTAAAAACTAATATATTACAGGTATGACAGACTGTGCTTAAATTTTACAAAATAAAACTACTATACCAAGAATGGTTATACAGTAGGACTAACTTATTGCCACTTCAATATTTGTAGAGACTTTGGGATTTGTAGAAACTAACATCTAAAAAATTTTTCTAATAAAATTAATTTTTAATTTTTAATAGGAATATTATGTTTTAGTCTACCTGAGGAAACCATAAGTTAGCGACAACAAAATTTGAAGTTTTCATTTTGAAGGCATATACTGACTAAATAATTTATTTTCTTTGAATAATTACTAAGAAAAACGTTAGCCATTTTGTAAACGATTTCAGAAGCTAGGCCTCTATATGGCTTTCCACAATATTAATAGAATTTTTTTATCACATCAAATCAAATCAAATCATTTATTCAGCCAGAATTAACAATATACAAGTTGTATTGGCTAAGTCAAAATGAAATAAAAGTTGGATTCATGTACTTAAGAACTATTTACAAATATACAATCTTATACAATATACAATGGTGCAGATTTATATATAAGTATTTGCATCACTATTAATGGAACTGAGTTTAGATGTAAATTCTTGGACGCTATAACAGGAAAAGTTAATCAACAAAGATTTTAATTGTCTTTTGAATTTTAACAGGTTTGGTTCAAGTTTAAGAAAAAGTGGAAGTGAATTAAAAAGTGTTATGCCATTGTACAGTAAGTGTTTCTTGAAGAATGTTGTTGAATGTTTAGGAATAGGTAATGTGTGTGAATTGCGCAATGTGTATTGGTTTTTTACAGAAAAATCAAATTTAGAAAATTCCTGTTTCACAAATGTTAAAGATTCAAGAATGTAAATGGATGGGAATGTCAAAATCTTTGAACTAAAAAAATATTGTCGGCAGGATTTGCGCTTTTTTAGAGAGAAAATAGTTCTCACAGCCATTTTTTGGAGTTTAGAGTTTAGTGTACATCAACATTCAGACTGGATTCGGAGACTATGATGCTTTTATTGTTAGATAGTGTAGTACATATTTTCTTACTAGTAGGCCTACTTAACAGAAACACCGGCTTATTTCTTTGAAGTGGTATTTATTTAAGTTATTTGAATCACTTAACAACAGCATTTATCAATAAGATAGACAAATAAATAAGGAAATAGTACGGTATTACTACCTAAAACTTGCTTATCGCGTCTATATTTACACGAATCGTTGTCTTATTCTTACATTTTTTTACAAATTTAATCTAAGCTCATATTTGTGAAAAATGTTTCACACCAAAACGAGAATATTTTTAAGATGTCTAATTTGATCGAAGAATAGCAGAAAGCAACTGTTGCTTACGCGGCGGATCAAGTAGTCTTAGAACACTGTATGTATTATTCATTTAATTGAGCTATCGTAGGCCTAATTATTCTTGCATCCAGGCACATCACATCTATCTGGCATGCTGTAGTAAGAAGTTTAATGTCATTACTAATGATTAAAGGTAGTAGAAACGCGATTATGTACGTAGAGTACGCGACTCCTCCATTCACTGTAATGGTAAAACGACCGAACGCCAAGACACTGATGCGACGTTGCCGCTTTTCACTCGCCGCGGCCTTGTATTAGAGGTGGCTATGTTTATATTCATTGCTAAATCTAAATTTAAATCTAGGCCTACTTGATGATGAAAAAAAAATCGAAGCTGGTTTAATGGTTTAATCTTTTAAAAACACCCTGCATATTAATTTAATGTAATAATATCATGCATCATATAGGCCTACTCATACTAATGATAAATACATAATACATAATAATAAAGAACTTAAGAACTATATTTTATGTTATATCATTGACTATTGGGTTGTATTAATAGTCAAAGGTTATATACCTATTACGAAATATTCATACCTTAATTTTCCCATTTTTGGTGAAGAAGATTCAAAATAAGACAGCTCACAAGGTTTGTTAAGCTTGATTTATTATTACTCTTGATATCTTGTATTAATACTTTTTTTAATACGAACAGGTAAAATTCGTTTAAACTCCTATTTTTATGTAACAGAATACTGAAATGCAATCTAAATGAAAAAAGTGAACAATTAGTAACTTATAATTATGATGTTCTTTGTATCTGAAATATATAGTATAGGCCTAGTATTTTTAATTGTTTAAAGGGATTGCTTCAAAAACCAAACTGTTAACAAATTCTGAATGTGAAAGCATATTCTTACATATTTTTACATCTACATCAAACGTTTACGTCTTGCTTTCATTACAGAAAACTCTTCTATCAACTGTTCAAATGCAAAGTCTTCACAATTAAGGATCTCGGCTTCAATATTAAGAATAGCTAGGGAATTTAACTTGTCATCCTTTAGGGTAGAACGCAGATAAGACTTGATCCTCTTTAATAAAGAAAATGATCTTTCTGCAGAACAGTTGCTAACTGCAGTAGCAAATACTACATCCTAAAAGCTATATCCACATTAGGAAATGTATCCTCCAATTTTTCTTCTCTGAGGAACGCTCATTGAGAGAGGTGTGCATGTGACGTTATTGCACTTTATCAATTTAGAAAAATGCACACACTCACTCCCAAATGATGACTCTAGGTCGGTATCGTAAATGTTTTGGAGTTTTGTTGCTTTTTCTAAAATTACTGATGGTTGTGTATCTGAAAGTGATGTGAGTCATCTTCGCCGATCGATAATCACCTGGCGCCCGCCGCCACGCACGCCGCCCGTAGTCGCCCATCACGTTACCCGCTGCCTAGGCGCCCTGGCGGGCGCCCCTCAACGGCTGGCGCCCCTAGGCACGTGCCTAGTGTGCCTTATGGTAAATCCGCCACTGTACGCAACCACGTACTTTGCTTAGCACTTAAACCGGCCCTGTCTGTACCTTTAGATTTTACACCTTTATTTTCAGCTGTAATGTTTACTTACAACATTCTGTTTGGAATAATCATTTGTGTTCGCTTTTTTATTTTTAGAAACCGTAAGTTTATACGATTTATCAATCAGTTTAAAAGGTTTCGAATGTATTTGAGGTGGTTTTTGAACTTTTGATATGGCAATATTTTATGAATGTAACAAGTTCTGGGTTTGATCTCTTGGGATTTTGTTGTATTGAGGTTGCACAACAATAAAATATTTTACTCAGTTCTTCTTCTATTAGCCGTATTTCCCCGTATGCTTTTTAGTCATAACATTTTAAGCACAAGTTACTTTATCAACAATTCTGTTATTTTTCCAGGACATTTGTAGGTGTTCAGATCACTATGCAGATATCATGGCTTCGAGAGTAGAGAAGATGGGTGAAACTCAAACTGTCTACCAGAAGAAATTTGAAGTTACAAATGAGGTATGGAGTAAATATTGGTATTAAATTAAGTTTATTTTGAAAAGTAATTAACAACACGAATATTATAACAGAAACAGTATTGATCATAAACAAATGACGCCACCATCCCGAAAGCAAACATGTTTGTATTGTTATTTAAATTAAACTGTAAAAAAAGTCCAAACCATATCTAAATGTTATCAGTGGTTCGAGCTAGTGACGTTTTATATTTATGATGCACTAGAGGATGTCCAGTGGTCGAAAACTCAACCAAAAATATGTAATGTAAACAGATATCTCTATTTTCACCCCACGCTGTAAATAAAACATGTGATTGGAATTTCTTCAATTTGTTTAAATTTCTGTTACATGATGTACTGGATTCTAAGATGTTTTTTTTTTCAGTGGTGCTTGGCTATCAACAATATTGACTATGTGCGCCAGTCAATCCAGCCGTTTGTTAAAGAACTGGGGTTGGATGACATCATCAAGAAATTGGCAGAGTTTCAGAGTCACTCAGCGGCTGAACATTGTAGGGAAACATTGCAACTAGTCTTGGATAATGCAGTGGAGACGGTCAAAAACAAAATTTTGGACCTCTTGGAAACAGTTGTTGAGAAGGTGAGCACATCATGTTCTGGTGAGAGAGATGTTCTGTTATGTTATTTGACTAAATTACATAACAGCAAATGACATCATCGCATTAAAACTTTTATTTCTCCTTTTTTTTCTCCTTTGATAAATGATCTTCCAAAAACATAAATTATCATATCATTCTAATATTATTTTAATTATATTCTGAGAACTGAGAAAGTCAGAAATGTTTGAAAATGATAAAAAATTGGATAAAAATAAGTGAATTTTTAAATTACCTCATACAAGTAACGATCTCCATATAAATAGTTATGTAGCCTAATACAGTATTTTTAAAGTCCGCACATGAACTTAACTGACTGTTCTAGTGACTTTTAACTAGCATATTCTTGATGGCAAGTACTGTTCACTCTTTGCAGATGAGTCCAGCAATCAGGAGGTTTTTAATGGAAGGAGCAGAGTTGGCAGATCAAGAGAATAACTCTGTTGATCGACTGATGCAGTACCTAGACGAGAACTTGACGACTCTTGGCTCTCAACTGAACCCCGACAACTTTGACAGAATTCTCAACATTACATTTAACAAGCTGGCAAACATCATGTATGAGTTGGTTGAGAATGGGCTCGAGGTAAAGAACTATTATTTAACCTGTTAGTCAAGTTGGCCTATGTGACTAGTTTTGTTATTTGGTGATATTGAATAAGTATTAACATTGTGTTTGGTTTTGGATGTATATATCTATCTAGTGCCAACAGTTACCTTTCCCATAGTGACTTAATGATTCAGGCTTCAGAAGCATGCAAATATCACACCAAAGATCACATCAAACATTCATACAAAGTTACAAATGAGATTGGCTTTTCACCATAGCTTAGTTCACCATTTAAAGCTTAGCTAGTACATTTTTTGTCATACTACCGCAAAAACAAATGCTTTAAATGCAGTGCATGTCTAAAGTATCTCTTTTGCTCCCTAGGTAGTAAAAAACCATTTAGTTACCAGGGCGTGAAAGTCAGCTGTCATAAAAGTTTAATATTTAAAGCAAATCGCATGTTCTTAATCTCAGCTAGTAATTTGTTACAATAATGATACTGCCTTGTTTGCCTAAAGTAAACTCAAATTACATCAGCTTAAGCAACACTCAACACACACAACAATGTTGGTCAACTTCAACTCATCAACTGTGAGGGAATCAACAACTCAGTGCTGATGTTACAGATTTAAGTGAATTTCCCATAAGGGAATAAGTTGTTACCGTAGGTCTCATAGTAAAATCTGGACCTGGGACTGATTTGCTTCTTTTTCTTTTTGAGTTCCCCAGAGGCCAAAAACACCATACGTTGAAATTCATATATATATATATGTGTCCGTTAGCACAATAACTCGAGCAAAAATGATCCGATTTTGATGAAATTTGATAAAAACGTGTAAACCTACATTTATTTGAACGAGTTACCGAACCAGCATGATCGGACTATGGGAACAGAGGTTTATAGGAGGTTTTTTGGGTAAAAATTTGTTTTTTCCCATTTGTACCCTAAAAACATTTTTTTTCAATTTCTTTTAAACCATTTTGAAGAGCTTATAAAAAAATAACTTTGTTTGTGTAAGTGTTGTTATGCAATGGTTAAGAACATAAAAAAAAATTACAATTAAAAACGTTATTCTTATGGAGAATAAGTAATCTATCGTAGTTTGCTTGCTTATGGATATATTTTGATCAACTTTGGCAAATTGATTTATTCCATACCATCAATAATTATAAACATTTAATAAAAAACACCCTTTCTCTTCCCTGTAGCAGCAAACCAAAGCACTGCTTAAATAAACTAATGTTATTTAGGTAGGGAATGAATATGTCATTTAAGGAGATATTTGAATGAAAATTCTATTAGGCAAATGGAAATCTTCTTAGTCTGCAGATAAATTTTAAGGTCCATTAAGAAAGGGTAGTTAATTTTAAATACATTTAAAGGCGGTGGGGCACACGGGAGGGACTAAGGCTAACATATCTTGTAGTGTCAGCGTTTGCCGCTAGAACTGCTAAGTTGAAATAATTTAAATTATTATTATTTTTTTTATTTTTTGTTATAAAATTATAACTTTTTAATTATAAAATATTGTTTCAAATTATAAAATAAATTTTTAATTTTTAAAATTAAACTGTCATAACATAACCTAACCAACCAGACTTGCTGATAATATAAAAACTATATAAGATAAAAATCGAATTAATAATTACTTATAATTTTTAATTAATTATAAAATTAATTTTAAAATTTAGTATTATAAAATTAAACTGTCATAACCTAACCTAACCAACCAAACTTGCTGATATGAAAAATTTGTTGACAAAAAGTTAGTGCTGCCAGCGGGATTTGAACCCGGGACCTCCTGAACATCAATCCGAAACGCTACCAACCATGCCACGAACGCCGCTGAAATCTCATCGTTTCGTTACGGTAATCGTGTCGCCTCAAGAGAAGACATTAGCCACTAGAGATATGACGTCACTACACCTTTAGCCTTAGTCCCTTCCGTGTGCCCATTCCCATTTAAAGGAAGAATAATTGTGTTAATCCCTTACTTTCTTAGAAATAATTTCACACATTTTTTATCAACAAGATAAACTAGTAGCCAATGTGTGTGATTTTGTTTCAGAAAAGGAAGCCACCACCTTTTTTTGCCAATCTGCACAAAACTCTGCATGTGTTGATGGGTTTCTTTAGACAAGGGGAGAACAATCAGAACAATAACAATGAGATGATGTCCCAGATAGAGAGGTTGCTGACCTTACATGGGATGGACACTCCAGAGCTCGTCATGCAGGTAAGCCATTAGCACCACTACTTTACAAACGTACTATCTTCCAGGTATGGCAGATAACATTAGCAATTGTTTTTTTATGTTAACTGAACTGTAAAACTTTATTTTCTATTCGCACCAGCTAAAAATTACAAATACAGTCTAATATATCTAAGTAAAATTAAGTGATGGAAAATATTACGTATATGCCTATATAATATATCTACCGATAACTGATCCAGGACTTTTGGGTTAATAAGTATAACAAGTGATTGGAAAATAAAATACATCTATATACCGGTAAAATATACTACCTATTAATCAATGAAGAAAAACTTCACGACTTGTAAATATAGTGTTAGATAATATACTGGCAAAAATAACAAAACCACATTTTCTTGACTATTATTATCATCATTTTTGGACTTGGACTTTTTTTCAATAAGACTAATTGAAATAATAAGGTATTAATAAATATAATTATTTCAATTTTAATGTTGTAGGAATGATTATTTTATGTATACATAGTGTCTTGTTGGTTTGATGAATTAAACATGACTTCACCTGCTAAGAGTTGTGAATTAACTGAAGGCAACTTGGTGTTTGCCAAAGTTAAAGGACATCCATATTGGCCGGCTATAGTGAAGAATGTTGACAAGACTTCCTATAAAAACACCACTAAGTACAAAGTAGAGTTTTTTTGCTTCTAATCAATGTGCTACTCTCAATAAGAATGACTTGTGTCTTTACCAAGACAATAAGTTTAAATACCCAGTTGAATCTGTAGCAATGAAGCACAGAGAAAATTATAAACAGGCATTAACAGAAATCCGTAAACTCTATGAATCTAGAAATCTATCACCAAAAACAACTCTTCCATCCTCTAAAAATATGAATAAAACACCATTTCATAGTATTCAGAAGGAAAATCAAAATAAAATACCAGTAAACTCTGATGAGTCTACAAATATAGGCCTAAACGATCAAAATTCTCAACTAATTTCTCTGACAGAAAAAAGCTGTATAGTTGAAAAGGAATTAAATCAAGAAGAACACTGTACAACCAGCAACTTCCATAGTAGAATTTTGTTACAAGAACTTAATAAATATAAATCTGAAAATTTAAGTCTTCAAGCTGTTGTTGATAGCCTTCAAAATGACGTTAAGATTTTGGAGGAGGAAATAACTAAATTAAAATCTAAAACAGTCTGCATTCGTTGTTACCCTACCCTCAAAACCCTCAGCAGTTCTACACCTTCAGGAAATACATGGAAAACAGTAACAAGAGCTAGTAAAATTATCATGCCTCATACTCCTAGTATTGAGAGTGAAAACAGATTTAACGTGCTTTCTCCCTCCTCTAGTACAATTGATGATAAATCATTTGAACATTTAAACTATAATCTTGTTATCAACAAAAAACCAGCAACCCAACCCAGTAATAGTGCCTATAACATCAGAAAAATAACAAAACAGAAGAGCAATGATGGTAGAAACAAGTTTATAATGTTATCAGACAGTCACGGCAAGGTCCTCGGTAACTTAGTTCAACAAAGAATCCCAGACAATGTGTGTTCTTTTGTCAGACCAGGCGCAAAATTTGATAAAGTTGTTGAAGAAGTTAAAAATCACACAAAGGAATTAAAAAAAGTGACAATCTATTAGTCATAGCGGGCACAAATAATATGGAAAATACAAGTGTAAATCAACTGATTGAAGAGATTTTAAAGTTAATAGAAGATACAAAACATACTAACCTGATACTTGCTACAATACCTATGCGACATGATCAGCCTGAACTTGATTTGAAAATCGCCCAAGTAAATTCAGAAATTGAGTTGATTGCCAAGAGATATCCAGAACTTAAACTCTTGCCACTGCACATGCTTTCTCGACACTTTTTTACAACTCATGGGCTTCACATGAATAAAAAGGGTAAAGCTAAAGTGGCGGAGATTGTGTTCAGCCTTATCTACAAAAAGAAGAGTATCTCAGATAAACCAAACAAACCTGTGAACTCCAGTAAAGCGCCTATGAGTCATAAAGGTGTATCTGTTCTGGAGGAAAATATGAGAGAGGTTATAAACAAGTTTAGAAATGACTCGTCAGTAGCACTGGCTCACACCATATCCGCTGACTTTGAAGATGAAAAGCACATGTCGGCAGGGGTAGCAGTGGTGTTCAGGAATAGTTTTGGTAGACCTCAAGCTTGCAACCTTATAAACAAGTATTTGGCATACCAAAAAATAGAAAACGGTCCTACAGTATATAGCCTCATTACAAAAGATAAATATTATGGTAAGCCTTCCAAAAATCAATATGATGAAGCTTTCAGTCAGCTTGAGCAAGATTTTAAGTCCAAAGGTCTGAAAACACTAATTTGTTCAGCATTGGGATGTGTGCGAGATCTGATTGAACCACAACACTTCACACAAAACATTGTAAACTTCCATCGTTCAACAGGAGCATCAGTTTACATTATCTCCTACAGTCAAAAGGCACAAAGAGTCCTTTGGAGAGGTCTTACACACGAGGAATTTGTCAAGACCTTGAAACTTCAAATTTCAACGAAGCTTCAAGAGACTCAACCTACAGCAAGTCTTCCTCAGATGACATCACCAAAAATACCTGTCCCTACCGTGCAACAGATGCAGCAAGATCTTCCCACTGAGCATCAACTGCGGCTGTCTTCTTCTTCGACCTCCTCTAATTGTCTTCCACGACTCCAACAATTGCAATCCTCATCATATCCTACTGTTACACAACTACCACAACATCCATCTACTTCAATATATCCATCATACCTTACACAGATCCCTCCCTCAGAACTCCTTCAAAAGTCATTATCCTCCAAAAGCCTGGCACACCATCCCACCGTAACGTCCACTCCGAATAGTACTGATTTCTACCAAGCACCTCAGCAACCTGAATGTACATTACTCCCACAGTCCTCTCCAATTGAACATTCCATCCAAACACCCCACTCATCCAAAATACCCAACCAAGCCTCTTCCCCTAGTGAAGTGCATGAAAAAATGAAAAGTGTTGATTTGAGTGGTAATCCTAATATGAGCAGGGGTTTTTTAGATTAATGCAAGTCAATGTTCAATGTTTAAGAAACAAAGAGTTGTACCTTGAATCTGTTACTGAAAAAAATAATATTAATTTAATTTGTGTTTCTGAACACTGGCTTAAACAAGAACAAATTGATTTATATGTACCGAAAAATTTTATACCAGCTAATGTAATTTGTAGAGCTTCAAAAAATAATGGGGGGGGGGTTGGAATTTATGTCAGGGATGGTATAAAATTCTCTATTATAGATGTATCACAGTTTTACTCTGAAGTTGACTTTGAGCTTTGTTGTATTAAGTTAATAGATGAAAATATATTAATCTTAAGTATTTACAGATCTCCAAATGGGGACATCAATACATTTTTTGAACAGTTTGAAGAGGCAATCAGAAAGATATTAAAAAATAGATCCAAAATAATAGTGGCAGGGGATTTTAATATTGAAATGGCCAGGCCATCTGATAATGATTTAAAGTTTGTAAAATTCAGCAATATACTCAGATCTCTTAATCTTTTTATCACAAATTTTCAGCCTACTAGAGGTAATGCCTGTATAGATAATGTTATTGTTAACTTTAATGAAAACCTATATAGTGTGAAGTGTGATGAAAACTGTTTTGCAGATCACACTCCACTCTTATTCAATATGGTTACTACATCAAATACAAGTAAAAATAGCCTTGATAACAAAGCCTCCAGTGTATTTATCAGGAAGCAAAATGACCAAAATTTAAACTTATTTATTTCTTATTTAAGAGAGGAAAGGTGGGAAATGATAGATGATTATAAACATAACAAAATTAGTGTTGAACATTTGTTTGATAGTTTTTTTAAAAGATATGTGAATTTATGGCACAATTGTTCCCCATTGGTCAAAGTAACGGACAGGCAACCTAAAAATAATAAAAATAATAAGCTTATAAAATGGTATACTCCTGAGCTTAGAATAATTAAGAATGATATGCTCAAGTACTTTACTGTCTATAAAAACTTAAGATCTACAGGTTCTGAGCTAACTCAGGCAGCTTATAATGTTTATATGAACCATAAAAGATTCTATAGAAATAAAATGACTCTTGCCAAAAAGAACGCGGTTGAGCACTTCATCAGTAATGCTTCCAACCCATGTCGTGCTGCCTGGGCGGTAATTAAAGATGAGCATTCACCAACTCATAGTCAAGATGCCATACTTGACCCAGATGAAATGAATTCATATTTTTTAGATTCAATAAAAGAATTAAGTAAAGTAATACCACAAAGCCCCTACAAAGCAGAAGATTTTTTAGGAAACAACTCAATAAATACAACATTTTCTTGGTCAGAGGTCTCATCATCGGATATAATTAAAGTTGTTGCTAAATTAACAAATTCTAAATCAATGGATTATTATTGGATTTCTAATAATATTTTGAAAAAGACTATAAGTTTTATTAGCTACCCTCTTGCTTTTATATTGAATACCTGTATGAGGGAGGGATATTTTTCTCCATCCCTCAAAATATCGAAAGTAATCCCAATATTCAAAAAAGGTGATAAAAAAATGGTTCAAAATTATCGGCCTATTTCACTCGTTCCTATTTTTTCCAAAATATTTGAAGCAGTAATGTATAATCAATTAAATAATTACTTTGAAACAAATAACCTATTGTCAAACTCCCAATTTGGCTTTCGTCGAGGTAAATCCACAACCTCAGCAATTCTCACTTTAGTTGACCAGTCTCTCGAATTTTTAGAAAAGAAGGAATCTGTGTCATTAGTTTTATGTGATTTAAGTAAAGCTTTTGACACGGTTCCTTTTGATATCCTAACTAACAAACTACGTTTTTATGGCATCACTAATGATGCCATGCTTCTAATTTCTTCGTATTTATGTAATAGACTTCAATTGGTATCAATTAAAAATAAATGTTCTAAAACTGAAAAAGTTGAAACCGGTGTTCCTCAGGGCTCTGTACTAGGGCCATTTTTCTTTAACGTCTACATTAATGATCTTCCTACAAATATAAATACACAATCTGTTATATATGCGGATGATACAACTTTACTCGCTAACCATTCTAATTTAACAACCCTGCGCTTAATTAGTCAAGAGGCTGAACACAGAGCATATGATTGGTTTTCTGCAAACAGACTATCTTGTAATTCTGACAAATCACAATATATAACAATCAGTCTTAAAACAGAGGTAAAATTTGAATCAGTTAAACTTTTAGGATTTAATTTGGATTCAAAATTAAATTGGTCATCACACATAAAATCTGTTTGTAACAAAATTTCAAGAGTGAGGTGCTTGCTGTGGAAACTTAAGGATTTTGTTAGTCAAGAATATTTAAGATTGGCGTATTTTGGACTCTTTCAATCACACATACTGTATGGTCTTATTTTGTGGGGCCACTCTCCACATATTAATGACATCCTTTTACTCCAGAAAAAGGCGGTTCGAAGCATTGCTGGAGAGTGCTCGGATACACATTGTAAACCTCTTTTCATTAATTTCAGGATACCAACCATAGTAAATCTTTATATATTCCAAATTCTAATATATACAAAGTCAAACTTAGATCAATTCTCTTTCCGAAAAGACGTACACAATCACTATACAAGAGGTAGGGATAAAATAGATATATTGCAGCACAGATTGGCAAAAACCAAACATTCACATAAATTAAATTGTATAATGTTTTTTAATAAGCTGCCTGAAGAAGCAAAATTAGTTTCTTACAGTATTTTTAAAAATAAACTGTATGACTGGATTGTTAAAAATCCCTTTTACAAAATTGATGATTTTTTAAGTTGTGAAATTAATATTAGATTTTGAAGAGTAAGTTGAAATAAAGCTTTTATTTTCATGTAAGTGTCTATTTAAATTTAGATATTTTGTACTGTAAACACTGAATCACCTTGTAACTATGTATAACAATGACGTGTCCTATTTCTTTTATAAAGATCAATGGAAATAAATATTTCTTATTCTTATTCTTCTTATTCTTATTCTTATCATACTAAATAAATACTAGTTATAGGTTATTTTGGCATTCCAATCATTTCTATAGCTTTATTTTTTTTGTATTATTTTTCTAATAAAAGAGTATACTTCAAACTAAGATGACAATGACCATGGGCAATAGACTTAATTAACTGTGACTCATATTTAGGTTAAAATAAGCGTCCCCATCTCAATTATTGATAGTTGATAATTCATAAAAATAAAACAAAATTTAATGTTGACTAGCAGCCAGCGCCACTTTGTGACTTCAAAATCCGTGATATATTTAAATTAATTTACAATAATTTTCTATTGCAATTCCTATCAAAACACAAAATCTAAGGTAAGTCATTTTCTTCTTTACATTTTATATATACAGCATTACAATATTTTATGCTATGTTCTGTCATCAACTATCACCATGTCAATGCTGTACGTACACATGGGTTAAATAAATAGACAAACATAGAAATGAATGCAGTGGTCAAAACCAAGCCTAGGGCTATAGAAATGGTTCAACACAACATAGAGTAGTTAAGATGGAAGTGCTACAGAGAGTTTCTGTTTTCACACAGGTTCACATCGCACGCCTAGAGGAACAGAGGAAGATGGCGACCACACCCATGGGTCTGCTGACAGTAAGACTACAGTTTGTCCACGACACACTACGTTTGGAGGTCCTCAATGCTAGGAACCTCAAGCCCTTGGACTCCAATGGTAAAGAATTACACTACATATAGCATTTAAATTTGATTCCATTGCCTTGTGTTAAATTGATCTCTTGAGGTATACTGTCTTACAAAAATATATACAGTAATGTCAACAATGCATATTCTCTTCCATAAGGCCAATCATACTTTCATAGCACACTTTGATATTATCAGGAAACGATGAGACAAATACCATTTACTTGTAAATTAGACACAGCCTCCCAGCTAACATAATGCACTGTGATTCATTCTCGTGACCCTCAAACTCTATTTTAGAGGCATTCAAAAACTTATGAACTAGAACACTAGATTACGTGAAAACTGAAAATCTAGATATCAGCATTAATGATAAATTGAGCACCCAGTAATTGTCTCTGATTTTATATTATAGTAGGTGTTAGCCTTGAAATTGACATACCTAAGCTTGTACTCTACCTCTAAAATCATCGCAACTGTTAAGCATTGTGCACTAGGTTACTTGAAAGAGATGGTACTCCACCATCCTGATTAAATATTTGAATGGTATTCTTTTTACTTTTTACATCTTAAATTCTCAGAATAACATCAAATTACAAAAAAAAAAAAAAAAAAAAAAAAAAACAAGTAATTTAGCTCTATGTAGATTTGAAGTACTGTTTAAAGCAAGAGTCCATATGACACACTGTGTGACGTTTACAATTGCTTAGAAATCAGCCGTACAACAAGATAAATTACATTACAAGTATTGCTGAAAATTTTCCATTATTCAAATTATATGGAATTGGGAATTATGTGTATAGCCCTTGATCCTCTTATTTGATTTAATTTTAAAATTACAGATCTGTATCTGGTGACAATGCTATTTTTAGCAAATTACCCTGTAGCTGTTACTTTACTGTAGGTGGCACAGTAAGATATAGACCGATCGATATACTTTTTCATTTTGATGTCCCTAGACACCAAAACACTATTCGTTCAAATTTGTATATACCGGTCTATATATATATACGTCTGTGAACGTGATAACTCTACTAATTTTGTCCGATTTTGATGAAATTTGGCTTTAAGGTGTAGAGCAGGATAAACTTAAATGAGTTCGCGAACCAGCTTGATTGGACCATGGAACGGGGTTTTATGGGGTAAAAAAATGGGTTTTTTTTTCATTTTTGAACATCAAAACAAGAAATTTCCCAATTTCTCACCAAACCATTTTAAAGAGATAAAAACAATTGAAAACCCAATCAGGCAAATGAATTCGGTTAGACTGCAGGTTTGCTGCGGCGGGGGTATTTATTGATTACACAAAAGTTTTGAAATCATAATATTAAAATATCCTTCCATGATTACAAAAAACTTCTTTCTTTCTTACTGTACGGCGTTACCTATTGTTAAAAATAAACCCAATTTTCACTTACATATGTGTGTTGCAGGTTCTTCTGATCCTTATGTGAAAATTCACTTATTGCCTGAGGAGCTCTTTGCAGATGTAAAAAGGCCAAGGACAAAAGCTCAAAAACAAAACTTGTTTCCTCTATTTGATGAGACTTTCACAATGTGAGTGGAAATAAACAAGATTTTATTTATAATAGGCCTAATATACTAGGTGGTATAAAAGTAGATAAAAATTGTTATTTTTTGCTAGTTATAGTGTGAATACCAAGAACAGGGTTTGGCCCGCAAAATAAATATCCTATAATATACTATTTTCTTATTAGGCAATAAAATTAGTTGAATCATACCTAACAAATCAGGAAAACAAAAAAAAATTAAAATTACAAACTTAATTTGTTGAATAAATCTACGTTTATTACGTTTTGCTGAAATTTAAAGTACTGTCGTTTTGGCTAGGATGAACCATTTTGGGTCCGGTTTGGACTATTTGCATTAGTGACATGTGTTATCTGTCAACAGCCAGCTAACCAGGGAGCAGAGACAAGCTAAAGACGCCATGTTGCTGTTCATGGTCAAGGACCAAGACTACTTTGGTGTAACTTCACAGTTTCTGGGAGAGGCTTACTTCCCTTTCAGTGAGATTCCTACAACGACCATGGAGACCAATCTACGAGAGATGCAACAGACGCATCTCAAACTCAGCAAGCCGACGGAGTCTAGTTTGGGTGAGTTTCAAATAATCGACTAACATGGATTCTTTGATATCACATCAAACTGAATTAACTCTATGTGGTTTCGGGTGTTAATTTAAATCTCTTTACAAGTGGTTGTAGGAGAACTAGTTTTAATAATTGGTGAGCCTGTAATATTAATAATATTTAATGTTACTAGCCTATGAAATACTCCGCCACAGCAAACATGCAGACTAAGCGTAATATGTCTGCATGGATTTTGAGAAAAATATTTCTATAAACAAGTCATACTTATTCCCTATTTAAATAACATTAGATTTAATGAGTACTTTTTCCTGCTATTGCCTAGGGAAAAAGTATCTTTGATCAAACGTTAATATTTATAGGATGAAATAAACAAACTTGTCCAACCTCAATGGTTATTTAATTATTATTTAACCACTTGTTTTTATTAATTTTCTTTACTGATGTTGTCTTGTATTTTTGTCTTTATTGAAAACAGTTTATTTTTATTATCTTTTAATTTTTGTCTAAATAAGAAATAGATTATTGCGCAGTCGAATGAAGAACCCGTATCTTAGAACATTAAGCCTCATGAAGCCTTTTCCTTCAACCTAGACCTTCCTAAAGTAGGTCCAAAAGTATGGATCCAAGATTTTAAAAAGAGAGGGGATTATTATCAGCTTAGGACAAGAACCAAAGGTCATACTAGGTTAAGACAGGAAACACTACATTGAGAAGGAATCGACACCACCTTTTGCCTAACAAAGGCAATACAATGCCTTTCCATGTTTTTTTAGAGAACAAATTAAAAAAAAAACCTATTTTGGAAAATTGTTTATATCCTACATTTTGTTTATATTACCTGATATTGCTGGTTTACAAACTCAATCCAGTTTATTCACCTCTAAGCATTCATGCCAAAGTTAATCAAAATTGGAGCATAATTACTAGAGTAATTGTGTTTACGGACATATATATATATATATATATAATATGTACATTTGGACGAACAGTGTTTTTGGCCTCTGGGAACATAAAAAAACACATAAAAACATAAAAATAAATCGGTCCCAGGTCTAGGTCTTTCAATGTCACCTCAGTAATAGCTTCTTCCCTAAAGCGAAATTCGCTAAAGTAAAGAACTAATTTCTTTATCTTTTAATGGGATGATATGTCAGTGGTGTAGCCAGGTTCTGAGAGGGTCCTGGAGCAGAAATGGCTAAAGCCCCTTCTCCCGAAACAATGAGCTTCGCCCTTACCCTTTTACCCTTGAGGGAAACGGAAAAGTATAATTTATCCTAAACTGTAAGCGATTTAACAATAACTATTATTTTTTCTTTGCTAACGTCCACCCTATTACATGAGAGACTTACGCCCTGGAGCAACTGCTCCACTCGCTTCATTGTAATATGACACTGTGTATGGTTTGGTTAACTGGGATGAATTATAAACAAAAGGTAATATGTTGACCCTTGATACACATCTTGTCAAGATAGAACTGCTAGTGGATTAAGGTTAAGATTGTTTATTTAATTAACATTTACAGTATAACTAATTATGTAAATTAGGAATTGGCCATTGTGAATGAATGGGGTTTGGATGGTTAAACCAACTCAGTTTTCAGAAAAAAAAAAACTAGCAGTGGCTGGATATTTATATACTGTAAATAATATTGTGATTTAGTTTTTACATAAGCTTATTTTGTTTCAGAATGTGATGCGATGAAAGCTTTGGATCACCGACAAGGTGAAAAATTAGCAAAAGATTTTATAAAACGACAAAGGTCCAAACATAACCACAGCAATGTGCCCTCATAAATGACATTTTATGGTTGTACATAAATAGATCTGTTGTGTTTCTATTATATTTTGTATATTCGTAACTGTACATTTGACTGTTCCTGAGTGTATTGTAAAATATGATTATGTGTATACTAGTTTAAAAGCAAATAAAATTTAATTTATTTTTAATTTTATTGTTGGCATTTTATTTTACATAGTACAGATGGATCCTGTCAATTATGATAGAATGTGGAGAGGGTAATGCGTGAGAGAAAGAACACTTCTTCCACCACTCTCTCTATTACCAAATACAATGTAGATCTAACAGCAATTTTTGAGATGACTGTAGAAAATAACACAAGCGATGTGTAGCGACTCACTACAAGACAATAGCGCAAGTCACGTGACACAGTTAGGTGCGCGCGCAGTCTCCCCGAGACAAGCACGCGCGGCGAGAGGAGAGTACAGTAGTGTTTTGTGCGTGGTCCCAGCAACAGTTCAACATTCGGATAAGTAGTAGCATTAAGACTATGAGTAGATAATTATATAGGGGTTGGGGAAGGGTGTAGGCAAGGGCAAACTTATTTTAATTATGTAATTTATTATGTTCACCAATGGTCGTGATCTGGTAATCAATATCCGAAATATAGAATTCACATTTGCTGAATCTAGTTACTTTTCACGAATCAGAATAAGTCCAGATATATAATTATTTCTCTGTTCACTATATTATAATTAGATATATTAAATAACATAAAAGCTGCCTGTGATATGCAGCTAAGGCAATATTGAGGACTTTGACGAGGTAGTTAGTTTCTTTGCAGTAGAGCTGAACAACGACAGGAAATGTGCGTGAATTGATAGTGGTAAGAGAAAGGTATATAGGGCCCAGGTATCTTCCTTTACACTCATACTACTCCACATCACCACAGATGGTGGTGGAAGAAGGGTTCTAATGTGCATCACTCTCCCCACTTTATTTGATTAATTCAATTAATACCTATACAGGGTGAATAAAAAGTCAAGACCCCCCCCCCCTCTAATATTTTTCCAAGTAAATATACAGAGATATCCTATTGGTGGTCGAGCAATCTTAGCAGGAAGTTTCATTTTATCATTTTAAAATTTTTGAGTGTCCCCCCAAAAGGGGGGATTCGGGGGGCAACTCAAATATTTTAAATGTAAGCCCCCTTCAAGTGACACCTCATTTTGAAGTGTTTACAAAAACTTAAAGAATGGTGAAAACTAGAGGTCGCTATCTCTTCTCTATCCAAAATGGTAGCCCGTCAAATGTTGTGGAAAATCAACGGTAAAAATTGTTAATGTTGGCTGCCATTTTGGATAGAGAAGAGATAGCGAGCTCTGGTTTTCACCATTCTTTAAGTTTTTGTAAACACTTTAAAATGAGGTGTCACTTGAAGGGGATTTACTTTTAAACTTTTTGAGTGTCCCCCAAAAGGGGGGATTCGGGGGACAACTAAAAATGTTTCAATAGAAACCCCTATCAAGTGACACCTCATTTTGTAGTGTTTAAACAAACTTAAAGAATGGTGAAAACCAGAGCTCGCTATCTCTTCTCTATCAAAAATGACAGCCAATATCGACAATTTTACCATTAATGTTCCACAACATTTGACGGGCTACCATTTTGGATAGAGAAGAGATAGCGACCTCTAGTTTTCACCATTCTTTAAGTTTTTGTAAACACTTTAAAATGAGGTGTCACTTGAAGGGGGTTTACTTTTAAAATATTTAAGTTGCCCCCCGAATCCCCCCTTTTGGGGGGACACTCAAAAATTTCAAAATGATAAAATGAAACTTCCTGCTAAGATTGCTCGGCCACCAAAAGGATATCTCTGTATATTTACTTGGAAAAATATTAGAGGGGGGGGGGGGTCTTGACTTTTTATTCACCCTGTAGGTGCTAACAAGGATGTAAAGATATGATCAATTGTAAGTAAAAACATATCTCACTGTAAAAGTTTATTAAAATATGTTTGCTCCTACATCACATTTGGCTCTAAAACAAACTTAACTTGAGAACTACACCAGTCAAAATACAATACTTACTCTATAATATTTTAAACTTTCAATAAACTTAATAGCCTATTTCATAAGAACCTTAATGGTGGTATATTTAATAATGAAATGTATAGAAAGTAATGAAGTTGTAGGTATAAAATAAAGATAAAACTAACAATGTCATGAAATATTGAAATATACACATCCTTCAACTTCTTAACATCTTAGATAAGATGTGGTTATTCATATATCTACTATGCAGCTATTTAAATGCAACAAAACTTTAAAAATATCATTAATTTCAAGTATTTAAATTGTTAGTGCCAAAATTAAACCAAGAATATAGGCACAGTTGAATCACTTTCAGAATGTTACCACAGTTTATGTTTCATATTCTGTAAACCCATTCTATATAAGTACTTTCATGAAATACTTAAATAAATTTGCCAACTAATTCTTAATTTGACAATAATACGTTAACAAATTTCAACATGATCACATACTGGTAGTAGTAGGTAGGTACCAAACTAAAGCTACTGTTCAAATATTGACTCTACATTTCTTGTCTTCATACCTTTAAAATAAGAACATTTTGTCCTTCAAAGTATTCAATCTGTTCACCTTTAGTAGCTATTTTTAACTTCATCGCCCGTATCATCTGTATCTGTTTCCATAGCAGAAGCAATGACTGTAGCAAATTTGGGTATCTGGTCGCCCACAACCTCAGGCGCTGTCACACAGTTGATGGTTTTTCCACTCTCGTCCTCTATGGAGATGAAAACCTGAGACACTCCACTGTTGGAGTCTGACTCTATGTTGGACACCTTGAATGACGCTGAACCATTCAACTGAAACAAACAAGTATATTTTTACTGAAATCAAATAGGCTAACAATCTGATTAAAACAACCATTTCTAATCCATCAAGTATTAATTGATCTGGGGTCATTGCGTAATAAGAATTATTCAAGTGTCAGATACTATGACTATAGCAAATTTACAAGAAAACATAATGTTCATTATTTTCCAGGTACTCTTTTAAGCATAAAAGCCAACCAATTATTAAAACATTCTGTCAACATCAACAAAATACAGTAATTGTTGAACACATAACACCAATCTGAAACAACGAAATAATCTAGAAAACCTACATCAGTTAAAAACAAAGTACAGTTGTAAAAATATCAGTGTATTCTTAAACACATTGATACAAGGCAGCATACACGAGTCAGAATGATAAATTTATTGAACGGAGATAAACTTAAACTTCCTAAAATCTAGGTACAACTTCTTTTATTCAAAACTTTCTCTCAACCCTAGAAATATTGTATTTAAATTATGTGAAAATATTATGGTTAGATTGAATTGTAAAAAAAATAGAGTTATTTCTAACATCAATGAGTAACGACTGGGGTTTAACAAGATCAATGACCTTGAAAACTAGCATCAAAACACTGTCCAATTTTACAGTACAACCTAATACTGCACATTATATATATAAAGTGTTCGATTTTCGGTGGAACGGCGTTCCAGTACCTCTCTTTCGGAAAGATAAAAATATTGTCATAAATAGGTACTAATCACATTAAATGGGTAAAAGTTCCGTCACCTCATTTTGTTACAAATCATCATGAGTCATGATCATGGTCATTGCCTTCTCTTCCCCAACTCCCTCACCAAATTTAACATTAATGGAGAGTATTTGTTAATGGCCAGACGCCTCCAAACACCCTCTCTTCCTGCCAACCCTTGTATTCTACAGTATTGTTCATGTATTTTTTTTTTATCAAGCAATGATGTTATCTTCAAAACCCAACCAATCCACTAATCTTTGACTTATAATAGACTAAAAAATAGCATAGATGTGATAAACCTTGAACTGAATACAAGTGTTGACAGAACAGTGGTGCAATTAAAAGAATGACTTTTCAATTTTCAAGGAGAAAGGAAGGATACACAACTAAGTCACCTGAAGAAAGAGTCTCAGGAAGTTAAAAGTGACTTACATAACAAAGAAACACGTTTGACAGATATTCCCTGAAAGGGGTGACATATCAGTTCAAATGTGTTTCTTTTTTATGTACTTTATTAAAATTGTTAACCCATTTTGTGCATAGATCTGTAGCAAAATACAGCAGTGAGGTATTTTCATAGTCAACCTATTATTTAATGTAATTTTTGTTTATGATGTGTGAATGATATTATATTTCATAGTAAAAAAACTTACTGTACTTAAAGATGATGATTTTGACTCATTCTTTGAAGGGGAGGCTGCTGACTTTTGACTGTTTTCTCCATAAAGCTTTACACTTTCATAGCGTACAGTTTGCAGCCTAAAATTACCATCTTCTTGTCTTTGATACCTACAAAAGTTTAAGTAAGTTAAGACTTGCCCCTATATATTAAACACCAAAATAATTGATTGATAACTAAAACATAATGTTCATTATTTAACTTCATCAAAAGCAATGACTAAACAATACAGCAATGATATTCTGTATTGTAAGAAAAAAATAAATTATACTTCTTTTAATAAACCTTCATGTCTATATATTTAGGTCCGGGTGTGCAGATTTGCAAAACTGGCTTTGGATTTTCAATTCAAGCCATAAAACTTGAAAGAAAAACAAAATAAGACTTTGTTTACATGAGTTTGTTTACATTTCTGATTTCAAATTCAGAAAGCCCAGCTGTTTCTTTTGCATTTCCACTAAAAACAAAATGTAGCTTTTTTAGCACTTCCTGGGCTATGGGTCCGGATTTATCCGTCAATCTCCGTTTACGTTCCGAGCATGAAACGGATATATCCGTCCTGAGAAATTTCTTTTCTGGGATAAAGAAGGAGTTCAGTTCTTATAATGAGTTCTTAAAATTATAATGAGCATATCCGTAAAAAAACAACTAATTGATATACATTGTTTATGTTGTATTTTTTGTTGTTTTTTAATAAAGAACAAATTCTATTAATTTTACAATTTAAACAAATTGGGTTTAACTATCCAGGGGCCACAATACAAACAAGTAGGCTACTATGCTCAAATTTTGTGTAGGTTCGTTCCTATTGGAGTATGAGGGTGAACAACAAGCGTTGTAACTACATTTGCTCCATTCATAAGGCCATTAGGAGCGAGCTGGTCTAGTGGTTAGAGTGCGGGACTTTGGTTCCTGAGGTC